ATTTCATTACCTTTGCTTCGGTGCTATTTTTAATACTTCTCAACCGTTGAAATGGAGGTAGCTGATAAAAATAACAAACACAACAAAAGCGATAATCCGTACTAAGTTCATTGCCAACCAGAAAAACAACGAGAAAGATATATATATATATATATATATATGTATATTTAATATAAGTATATATTATATATTTCTAATGTTTAAAAATATTTCCAATTTGTATTCGCTTTCTAACAATATTAAATTAATTGCATATGCTTTCATTTCTTATTTAATTCAATTTATGAGTGACATTACGCAATCTCTATAAGCAAAATCTTCTTCTCAGTGCACAACTGTCTTTTTATTTACAATCTATTAAAGTATGCTATTATTAAGTATTTTATTTTCATACTTTTTTTTTTGAAATTTATGCGACGAAAATTGATAGCAAATTGCTATGCATTGCACAAACTAAAAGCTTTATACATACATAAGTATACATATGTACACAAATATTTATGTACAAATTAAGTTTGATGAGAACTTTAGTTTGCAAGAGAGAGTTTTGCTAGAATAAAATGCAAAAAAAAAAAAATAAATAAATTTCGAATTTTATTTGAGTTTGCAAATTTGAATATGCTTTGGCTCATTTGTGTGCAAACACGTGCGAAGTTTTTTTGAATTCCTTTTTGTTGCTGTATTTTGTTGTATTTCTTTATTTATTTTGTACTACTTTGTCCGCTTTGCAGTAGATACGAGCCCATATAACATGTACATATGTATGTGTATGTGTACGGTGTATTAGAAGAGAACTTCTAGCGAGCTGTTAAAAAACAAGCTTTTGCATTTTTTATGCGCGCTGTCAACGGCAAAGAAAGCCAATTGAACATTTTGACAAACGAAGAAACGTTCGCAATCGTTTGTAGCGTACGAAATACTCAAATGTTAATCGTGCAAACATTTGAGCAGTTTAAGAATGTACATACGTACATACGTATGTATGTACATTTGTATATGTATTTATATATATATATGTGTTTGTAATATATGTATGTATATAAATACTCTATATGAATATGAGTGCTGCTTTCTGATTTGAATATCTTATCGCTTCATCGATACAGCAATTGTTTATACATACATATATACAAATTTATATACACACAAAAGAGCAACAAGAAAAATAAACTTAGCCGTTAGCTGATCATTGTAATTTTGTTTTACTTGAAAGTTCTCTAATTTGCACTTTCAATGTGAGCAGAAATAAAATAAAGACATAGGTGCATACATACATACATATTATATGAAACGTTAATTCGCATAAGCAATGCCAGCACAATTATACTAAAAGTATGAGGAAGTGGGGAGAGTGCGAGACGTGACGCTTAGATACACATTTTATGTATTTTAACAACATTTGTTCAATTTTGTTTGAACCCACTCAACACAAAAATTCGCAAAAATACAAAAGTAAAAATGAAAGTGCAAAAAAGCACTACAAAAATAACACAAAAAAATAACAAAGGCAACAAAGAAAAAATTCAAATTAAACAAATAATATAAAAAGAGTGGCTGAACTCGTAAAAATATGTACATGAATATGTATGTGTGTATGTTGTATACGCTACGGCGCAAGCTGCGGCGACAGTTGGCACTTTTCTATTATTTGTGTTTGCACAAAGCTGCTAAATTCTATGGCTAGCATGCTAGCAAACATTGTTCTACCTTCATTTATTTCGATATTTCACTAAATATATGTGTATGTCTATAAAAATATTGTATATCTAAATATGCGCTCACACGCTTAGCATGCAGTCGATTTCGTAAGTAATGGTACGCATTTGCTAAGAAAATCTTATTTATTGAAAAAAAAAATATATAATATATTATATATATATAATAATGAAATAATAATAATAATAAAATAAATATTACACTCTAAATTATTAAAACAAAAAAAATTAAATTAATTAAAATAATATTAAAAATAAAAAAATAAATGAAAATAAATAAGTATAAAATAAAATTCCTTTTCTTATTTATAAACTAAGAAACATTTTGTTAAAAATATATATATTGTATATGTAATAAAATAAAAATACGAAGTATAGTATAAAAATAAATTTATATTCTTAGCTTTTTAATCTGTACCATTAATCACTGCCTCTACGGTACATTTGATATAATATGTAAGTTACTTAAGTAGCAGCAGTTTGTTCACGCGCCGCTTTGGCTACACATCAACCTAATTGCCCGTATACACGTATATATATAACTAAACGTCTTCATACATACTCATACACATAAGCCGGCTTGTCATATACATAAAGCAGCTGATTAAGATTTTTTGAAAATTTTATTTATGTGATCTAAATTTATTTGCCTTGCTAACCCAGTTTGAACAAGTTTGTTTAAAAAAAAACTTTTTTTCGCAAAATTCGCATTCATGCTGCAAAGCACTGAATAGTTTGCTGCTTCTACCTGATAGATGAACAGGTGTCTTGACTAATCGAATTATATATTATATTGTATTCTTCCGAAATGTTGGTAATAACAATGCTGACTTTGAAAAATGTTCTAGATTTACCCAGGAAAAAAAAAATTTATAAGAGATAGGTCCATAATAAATATATTTTTGAAGTATTTTATGGCAGCAAACTTATTTTTGGTCGGTGTCAGTGACAAGGCTGCCTAAATGCAGGCAATAGTTTTTATTATAATTTTTTTTTTTATTACCATTAATTGAGAATTTCAGGTAATTATTTTCTAATTAATTCCTTTTCCCTTTGCCCGAAAGCCAAAGTGATTTCTTATATTTTATGTCTATTTGAATCAAATCAGTTGTTTATTAAATGAAGTATAACCTGTAAACAGTATTTCTATATATATGTGGCATATTTTAACTATCACAGTTACTTCTACATAATTTTAACGGAATATTATATGTTAAAATTTATTTGCAAATTATATGCATTGTGTGTTTCATGTACACCACTTTATAATTTAAGGTGATCAACACTCCTTTTGTTTACAAAAGTTGTCTGCTTGTCAACTTCTTATCAGTTGCATTTTAGTACTATGCCACAACAATATTGCTTTAACTTTATTATATTTACAAGCTAATTTCTCAAAGCTCTAATCTCTGTAGCCTATGTTTGTCTCACAGCGTATGGAATTAGCAAGAAATAATGCAAGTAATAATAAAAATGAATATAAGTAGGGCAAACAAGGTCCGCTCTAATTGTGCTAGAGAAGTAGGGAATAAATAGAAAATTTGAGATTAGTCGCGAAAGATTTCTACTTTGATTATATACCTAACTATTGCGAAGAAAGGCCAATGTTTGTATGTGCATATATGCATATATGATTATATGTGTATGAATATGTACCATATAAATAATAATGTATGACCAATGTGTAAAGTTCTGCCGGCAGCCGGACATTAGCTAGCAAGACAAAGGAATTTGCAAAATAAATGCTTCGAAACAGCGGTGGCATGAATGGCAGTGAGAATCGAACAAGCAGCTGCGTTAATAGTATGCTTTGTGTATGCGTGCGTGGGTGGACCGCAGTGTTGGTGACGTATACGCAACGTGGTGCAGCTGGTATTTCTCAATGCCGAACAGTATATTGTGCGTGTGAGCATAAAATAATTGCAAACTAATTTGTATGTATTGTATTATCGCACACACATACAGCCACACACGACAATCAGCTGCCGGCACGCACTTTACATACATACATACATCTGTACATGTACCTATTTCTGTTCATTATGCTCAACACACATTACATTAGCGATCGGTGCGCATTCATTAACAGAGCAACACTCATTATTGCCGGCAAACGCACGCATAATAAAATGAAAAGAAGCAAAAAGCAAAAAAAAAAAAAACTAAGAAAGAAACGGCGACCAAACGCCTACCGGCCGGTGTCAACGCACTTTGCACGCGCGATTTTCAGAAATTTGCCAAATTTATCATTTTTGTTATTCGCTTTGCGTTTTTTCTTTTGTTTTGTTAACTATTTTCTATGCTGACATGCGCTCACGCACGTGCGCTCTCTCTGGTACTCACTCTTTACCTTTAAAGCAGTTTGTGAACTAGAGAAATCTATGCAGAGAGCTGGTCATTAAACTATGTGTGTATGCTCGCGATATTTCCACTCTTGGCAAATTTTTGCAAATTGCGAATTTGTGCGAAGCACACAAAATGTGCGTCGAAACGTGCGTCAACCTATTTAACGTTCATTGAACTCCACTCAAGGTACATTTGACCGGCGTTTCCGCAGTCTTTCGGCGTTTACGCATAGCTAGACGCGCGTCGAACATCAGTTTGCTGCGCAGAGAGAGTGCGAAAGGTGGGAAGCCGACTTACAGCATTTGCTTAGTAGGTGGCGGAGAGCGTTTCGCCGGCGTGCGTGGATTTGCAAGTGGTTGATCTGGCGTTGGTGATAGCGTGCTCTACTTTTCGACAAATACACACATACATGCATATTTAGATATGTGTAAGCACTTGTGTTGTGCGCTGACTTCGGTGAAGACGCTACGCATAATTCATGATTTCTTTTGTTTACGCTTTACTTTTTGCAAATTTTGCGCGTTCACGTGTCGAATTTATTTGTTATTTATTTATTTTCTGTGTACTACAACTCTTTTAATTGTGTGCGGGTGTGAGTGTGCTTTTGCGTATTTCGTGACAGTTTGTTTTGGTATTAGTTGAATAAACTCAAACGCTTTTAATAACGAAAATTTTATTTTACTTTTAAAGACAGAGCGTTACGATCCAAAGAAAATACTATTGTAAATAAGAAAAATTTCTTTATCTATTCGAGACTTACATATATATTTGTACAAAATGTACCGGGAGAGATACATAATTTATATTAATATTTGTTTTTTTTTAAATTGTTATTTGTTATTTTAAAAAATATTGCACTTAGTATATACATAGGTAATATTTATATAAGTATATTATTGTAAATATATTTAAATTTTCTTTTCTTTTTTATCTTTATAGAAATGGCGGAAGGCAATGGCGAACTGGTAGATGACATCAATCAAAAATCAGAAGATCGCGGCGATGGTGAAAGAACGGAAGACTACCCAAAACTATTGGAATATGGCTTAGATAAAAAAGTGAGTACAGCAGATTATAAAAGTAAAATTAATACAGATAAAAGCCGAAAAGATAGGTATTATTTTTGTCGATATAAAATTTAGGTGAATATTTTCAACAGTTTGCTAAATCTGGCCCAAAAATGTTGAAAAAGGCAAGTGTTGCATACTTTTGAGTAGATTAAAGTATTAAGATAATATATGCAAAAAAAAAAAAACTAAAAAAAAAAATTTTTGTTCGTCATCCCTGTAAAAATTTATATTAATGCTTTTTAGGAAAACGATCAGGTGCTAAGTTAACACTTGCAAAGCTTAATTGCACATAAACCGTGCAATAATAAATAATTACAATAAATACTTTTCACATTTTTATATTTAAATATGTTTTTTTAATTAGTAGTTACTAACTTCAACTAACACTTTACTGCAATTCTTTCACAACTGTTAGGTTGCCGGCAAACTAGATGATATTTACAAAACAGGTAAATTAGCGCATGTGGAATTAGATGAACGCGCGCTAGATGCGCTTAAAGAGTTTCCGGTTGATGGTGCCTTGAATGTATTGAGTCAGTTCCTCGAATCAAATTTGGAACATGTATCGAATAAGTCTGCGTATTTATGTGGTGTTATGAAAACATATAGACAAAAAAGCCGCGCCAGCCAACAGGGAGTGCCAACACCAGCGACCACAGTTCAAGTGAAGGGACCGGATGAGGAGAAAATCAAGAAAATACTCGAAAGAACTGGCTACTCCTTAGATGTGACCACTGGTAAATATTGCTTATTTTTATGATTGATGTAAAATGATTTTATTTTCTGTGTAATCTTCCTGCAGGTCAACGCAAATATGGCGGACCACCACCCAATTGGGATGGTCCAACACCTGGCAATGGCTGCGAAGTTTTCTGTGGGAAAATTCCAAAAGATATGTTTGAGGATGAAATAATACCGTTATTTGAGGAATGCGGTACAATATGGGATCTTAGACTTATGATGGATCCGATGACGGGTACAAATCGTGGATATGCATTTGTTACCTTCACGACGCGTGAAGCGGCTTCAAATGCCGTACGACAGGTAGTTTGAAATTCATTTGCCCTATACAATAATTCCAATTAAACACTTACTTCAGAAAAATATACAGATTATTTTTTTTGCAAACGCTTTCATAAGAGTTGTTGCGTAAACGAAAAGCTTATATATATTTAGCAAGCAGTACATTTACTATTTATCCATACGTTCATCTATAATTATTGAATTATTTATTGTATTTTATACTATATCAAAAAAAAAAACAGAAAGAAAACGCTTTAATCGATTCAACTATACTTTCTTTTTAATAGTATAATTTTAGGCAAAAAATACATTTCTTTAGACTGAGACCAACCAAAATTATGCTTCGAAATTCATATGACAAAAATGCGCTAACAAAATTGTCAAAAAAAAATAAATAAAAACAAAGCAGTAAAGTATGCTTTCTGCAAAAAGTTGCTATACAAAAATATATGTTTTGGATGAATTTAATCGGATTATATCTACCTTCCTTCCGGCCACACTGAATTTGAACGATTAATTATTTTTCATGTCATTGAGTCCACGCTAGCGACTCACGCTGTATAAGTTTTATTTTTTATTATACCGTTGCATACATATATATATTTTAAGCTATGTAAATTTTAAGTATGTACTATTTTTGTAGCTGCTTTCGCGTTCTCTCTCTCTCTCTCTGAACTTTACTGTACTTTTAAGTTGTACTTTATTACTGGAATCTTTGTTCTCTCAATTCTACAATACCGAGTAGTAGTTTTTTTTACTTGCATTTGCATGCTGTTTCTTATTTACAAAAAAAAAGACATTAAATCAACTACCACATTTCGTAAATTGAGTTTTTTTGGAAAACAAATATTGCAATTGGATGCAACCAAAAACTTAGTGACGCATTAAAAGTCTACTACCTTCAAAATCCACGACGAAAAGCAAAAAAGAAAAATCTATATATTTAGTGAACAAAATTAAAAAACAAAAAGTTTATTAAACAAAAGGTTCAAACAAACAAACCAAGAAAAAAACGATTTGAAAAGAAGTCTCGAATGCTAAATACAAAACCAAAACCTTTTCGCCACTTCCGATTAAGTAGTTTAGTTGCCTGTCCCCTACCGAACCTTCTTTAACCCTATTTTAGTTGTATAAATACACTTTTTTTTAATTTCATAAATATAATTTTTACAATTATTTCATAAAATTTTTGTTCACTGCGAAAATTATACATATAAATAGTTAACAAATAATTAATAATTAATTAGCAGTTTTTGGGGCATAACACAAGTTTCGACTGCAACAACTGGCGAAAACAAAACAAAAAAATCGTAAAGAAAAATGCGATGAAATTCAAAATTCAAAAATTAAAATCAAAAACATAAAAATACCAAAAATATACTTCGAAAATTTTGTAGTAACGATTTCTCCTCTTTGCAACAACTGCGTACCCTATCAACGTTGCTGTCTCATGCATCTCTTCCATTTTACTTGCATATATTTCTTAAGCTTGTTCTTAAAATTTAAGTAGTTTCTTGCGTACATACAAACATACATACTATTAGGATAGTATTATTGCTGTGCTTATATTACAAACTCTGCCTCCTTGAATTGCTACGAAAATGGTACTTGATTAAGAATTAAATTAAAAGTAAAATACCGTTCGTATATTAGTTAAACAAATTGTCTGGTTTTATTTTTTTTTTAATTGCGAGCATGTTCTCTACTAAAGTAACAACTTATAAAGAATATGTATTATTAATGTCCCTTTGTTTATCTTATCCTTAAATTTTCCCAAACTATCGACAAATGCAAAATTACGCTCTCTTTGGAATCGAATCGAAAAGTTGGTTTTCGAAAGTTTAAAAAAAAAAAACTTTAATTAAATAAAAAATGTTGAATTATGTAATTTCGGCTAATATTATCCATCTACAACTTCTTTCGGCACTGCTCTCATCAAATCACCCTAACCTGAAAATTCTTCGGCTATACAAATCGAACAGAACTGGTAATTGTGTACGTTCAGCACTTTACAAACACAAACACATACATTATTCCCGAATATCCAAAAACTTCCGTTAAGAAAAAATAAATTATGTAGTTTATTTACGATTTTTTACAACCTATATAAGAGAAAAATCATACCTAGCATATTCTCCTCAAACCTACTATTTTCTCCCTACAAATTGGATTTTCATTTCAATTGGCAACTCTATCCAGTTTTTTTCCAAACAAATTGCATTTTCATTTCTCTTGGCAATCCTCTCTTTATCCCCATTTTTCCTTACAAAATACTTTTTCATTTCAATTGGCAACCCTATTGTTATCCAAGCCTTTAAAATACTCTGTACCTCCTTTCCTTCATTATATTTCTTCATTCCATTTGCATTATTTGACGTTTTATATTTTTTTAATTTTATTATTTAATTATTAGATACATTACAAATATGTTGTATTACCATTTCTGCTCAGTATTTTTGTTATACTTTTTTTATGTTTTCTTTTACCATTTTTTTATTAAATAATTATTTATTTATTTTATTGTATCTTGTTCGTTATTATTATTGAAATCCTACCAACTACAACTGCATTACATTTACATTTACTACAACTACTACAAATGAAAAAAAACTAAAAAAAAAACAACTACAATGACAACAACAAACGCTTAAAAACACACATATAAATATTTGTATACATATTCCCCATCTACAGCTCGATAATCACGAAATAAAACCTGGCAAGTGTCTAAAAATTAACATTAGCGTACCGAACCTGCGCCTATTTGTAGGCAACATACCCAAGTCGAAAGGCAAAGAGGAGATTTTAGACGAATTTGGTAAATTAACAGGTAAATTCAAAATGAAAATTTTTTCTAAAATTTAATTTGTATAAAAAAAAAACAAAAGAAAGTAAAAATAACGTAAGTACAAATGCGTATGTGGTGGAATTTGATAAAGTAATATGCAAAAAAATATATAATATATAAAAATTATAAAAAAAAATTGTTTAATAAAAAAGCGGATATAAAATATTAAAAAAAAAGCCATATTGAAGAGTACTAGCAAAATAAAAAATAAAATGAAAAATAGAAATTAAAGTAAAAGTTTAGTAGGAAATTATTATTATCTACTCATTAATGTAAATTACAAATATTCACACGTATACAAAATAATCTCTGATTATTAAACCGTTTATATTTTTTCAACACAAAAGTTGCCCTCAAAGAGTTGAGTCGCGAAATTCATAAGCTATTGCGGTCCTCAGAAAGGTTCTGTCTAATAAAACTCGTGAAGACACAATAGTCATCAATAGCTTTACAGTAATATTTTTATTTCGAATTTTTTTAAAATAACAAAATAAAAAATACTTCATTGCTTGGTTGAGATGTTCAAAATACCTTAATTTTGGAAAATTCTCCCAACAACCTTGTACGTATTTTGTAAAAAAGGTTTCAAATCGGTTGCACATACTCGAAGTGAATATACAAAAGAACTCGAAATCATATCAGGAGAAAATCACTAATAATAATCTTCAAGACAGCAGTGGTTGCAATGATTTTTTTCTTAATGATTAATTGATTATGTAAATATAAATTTATATATACTATATGCTATACAAGTATGTTAAGTAAAAATATTCGTGTTGTATGTTGTAGCAAGTCATCGGGTATTCTTTATAGCAAAACATATATACATTAAAATTATCTGGTAAAAGAAAAAAAAAACGTGTGAAAAATATTAAATATCTAATTTTCAAACACACTATTTTGCATATTATACAACAAATTCCATTACAATTCGCATAAATACGCGTAGCGAGATCGCCAACGCGATCAATTTTAATTGGCTTGTAAAATACAAAAATCCAATTGGCTTTAAGATTGGCTCACACCCAATTGGCAAATGTGTAATCGGCGTAAACGGTGTATATAAACAAACATTAATTACATAAGAGTATGTAGATAGGTTTCTAATGACCAAATTTAATATGTGCAAAAGAAGAATGGGGGTTAATTAAAAATTAAAAATAGTTGATAGGTGAAAAATAGCGTGAAATGCTATATGAGCAATGGTAAATGTTTGCTTTAAAATTACCATAAATAAAAAAATCTTACAAATTAAGCTTTTTTTGTTTTGAAACTACAAATTTTTATTTCGAATATTTAAGTAATTATTTATGTTAGTAAGTAATATCCCATCAAAATTATTAAACCCTTTATCCCACCACACCACATCTAATCATTCACCACAATAATTATCAAAAGTCAAAATTTCACTCACGAGTATTACAACTTTCTCTCATTGTAGTGAACTCAATTAACCGTTATACTTACAGTCCAATATCACCCTGTAATATATATATATATATTATTATTATTCTCTGAAACGACTGAGACTCTTTTCAAATGCGTACCTAACCAAAGTCACCTTAGTGTGTAATTCACCACAAATGCTTAAAATTTTTATAAAAAAATCAAAAAAGTTGGAAGAGAAGCGCACGCACACATTGGCAAGCATATGTCACGTTGCCACATGTACATACACACACACCTTTGCAATTATGCGGCGAATGCAATGCTCCCACCCTCACATTATACACACGCATACACTGGCTTTGTGTTGCACCACTCAAACTCAATATTATTGCATAACATAACACGCACACATATGCAATTTAGCGCGTTAACTGTGTAAACGGCTATAAAAAGCTTTAAGTTCTACTTTTTTTTTCTTATGAAAGCTTTAAAACTCCACCACGAAAAACTGCAAGAAAGCAAATGAAATTAAACAACGACAAAGATATCTCCAGTCATTAGCTTTCAAAAATTATGGAAAATGTAAAAGAAATGCTAAAATTTTCAATAAATAAATAGAAAAAAAAAAAATCATTACAAAATTTTTGCATCAATTTTTCTTCATAACTTAGTTCATATTAATTAGCATAAAACATACATACAAACATATTTATATATACATACATTTGTATAAAATATATATATACTTTTGTATTTAAACATTCGAGTTTTCAGCAGTCGGTTAGTTGCGGGTTACAAAAGTGTAATTAATTTTATATTAATGTAAATAATGTTTCGTCATATTCGTTTTGAGAAAATAATATCGAATATGTTTTCGACTTGATTAAAGGAAATTAGTTTACTCAACATATTAGACTCTAAGGGAAGTCAAGGCGCAGTGAAATTTAAAATCATTACATTCGGCAAAATAATTAAAATTTAAGATTATCACCGATTTCATCAAATTTCATATCTAACGGCATTGTGATCCAAAAAAAATGTCCATGTTATTGCTTCGTAAACATATTTCCCACCCTGCTGACATACATACGAGCCAGAAAGTCATATATAAGTCATAAAATCATTCAATGGTGCGAAGATCATTATATGCGGTATAGTTAATCAAGGTCTAAATCATTTTAAGCATCAAGCTTATATTTGCTCAGGGGATCATTTTATTTTAATATTATTAGTGTAGCTCACAGCTTATATGTTAAAATTAGCAATTTGTCGTTTTGAGCAGGGTTTGGAATTACATCTAAAATTTTTTTCTACGAAGAAGTATTTTTAAAGTTGAAAAAAGATATAATTATTGCTTTACACAAAAAATTATTGATTTTTCACTGAACAAAATGTAATATTTGCATATTTTTTTAGTAAATTGTGACTAACGAAAATTGAAATTTAAGTACGCTCATACTAAAAATATTTAATATAACTTGACTACTGAAAACTCGTCATACTAACTAAAAATTATGCTCACCTTTAATTCATTTTGTGTTTTCTTATGTATAACGCATACATATTTACACATTACGAGAAGTTATTTTCTTAAGCAATTTTTTTAATGAAATTATTTACAAACTGTATTGCTAATAATTATGCATACATACATAGAATGTTTTAAACGTAATCGTTTTATATAGCAGTATTGAATAAAAAAAGTAGAAGTATTTAAAAGACTTAAGAAGTGATGTTACTCATACGCCATGCTGATCGCTTGACGGTAGTAATTAATTTGTTACTAGAGATTTTTCGAATTTTCGTAATTTTTGTTGAGAAAAAAAAATGTTATGATTAATATTAATGATATTGATATTTTTCGAGGAAAAAGAGTGTAATGACTAGAAATGCACTTAAAAATTATTATAATTTTGAATGCAATGCAAAACTTTTCTGATATTTCAATGAAATTTAAAGGTGTTAAGCCTTAATGATTATTTTTTCAATATTTTCTGATCAAATACATCTATTGCTGCCCTTTTGAGATTATTTTTGCTTTTTTATGGAGTATTGAAATCAACAATAAGAGAAAGTACTGAAATAAATGTTTCATACATATTTATTTAAAAAAAAAAAAAACATTTTAAATTAATTAGGAAATAATTTGTTCTATGTATGTACGAAAAGCATAAAATTTCAATATTTAGTATGTAGGCCTTTCCCAATTCATGCATAAATAGAAGGTATTTGAAAACGTTTGTTATCCGACGTTCATATTTAATTAGCGAGAAATTGTGAAAATTACTTATTCTGTTTTATTTTAATTATCCAACATTTTGTTCGTACGAAATGTATATATTTCAGACTGTTGGAAATTTTGAAGTATACACATACGATTATCATACATTAATTACTTACTTGAAATATTATCCTTCCTTAATCACTTTGAATCACAATTAATTAAATTTTTTTCTGAAGACTTGCGATTATTTTTGTACTTTAATTACGTTATATTTGGCACGATTCTTCAAAAGCTAAATTAAAATCAAATTTATTATAAAAACTCATATACTTTTAAGTATCTATTTATAATTTGAAATTAAAATTTTTTTTATTTTTGAAAATGTAATTAGAAAGATAACAAACCGTCTATCCCAAACAACAACCCCCCCAACAAAAAGTTACAAAATTATTTAGTAAAAAAATAAAATACAACATTTTTTGTGTGAACTTTTGACAATTCCAGCTAAATGATTTTGAAATTCGGAAAGGCAAAAAGATTGGTGTTACGATATCATTTAACAATCACCGACTTTTTGTCGGCAATATTCCTAAGAATAGAGATCGTGACGAATTAATTGAGGAATTTACCAAACACGCACGTAAGTGGTACATTTCAAAATCATAACCAAAAACAAAACCAAGAACCAAAAAAATTAAACAAAATCAAAAGCAAACCCCAATTGATTTCCACTCCTAATTACTCGCCACCTAATCCTACCCAAACCATTATCTATATATAATCAGACATACATTAGTACTAAAATGCTCTTTAATCCACCAAAAAAAACTCTCCCTAAATGTATGTATTACTCAGCTCTAAATTTATACATGTAACGAAATTTCAAAAACAAAAAAATATCTTTTTAAGATTCGAAAATGGTTAATGTGAGTTGAAAGCCCGCTATGTATACATACATACACTTATACATATGCATAGCGAATAGTATATAGTGAAGAAATTATCGTAATTTTCAGCCATGCATGACTTTCTACTCTTACTTCACCTTCAATTCGCAATACACCATTTTGAAACTGTGAAAAATTGGTTAACCGTTACAATTGGCGTGTATCGAAAAGTGAAAAAGTTTATTTTGTTAGCGTCAGTTGCAGAATATTCAAACAAAATATAAAAATATGAAAATCAACAATTGGTGTGTAAAGACGAAGAAGAAAATTACTGAGCCTGGGTAAGCGCCATGGAAAGCTTTACAAAGCCTTGCATTTGATTGAAATGCGCTTGGAAAACGTAGAGCTGTGAAAATTTAAACGAATTGGATTTTTGTTTTGCAATTTTCGCTAATAATGCTGCGTACAAATCAAATCATTATATTTAGGAAAAACTCACGCCAGAGCAAAAGCGCAAATCCAAAAAGTCTACAAAGAAATATGTTTTCGAGCACAAAAAGAAATTTGATAATGCTTCCGTTTAGTTTTCTTGCATTTGCGCTTTTGTGTTGGCACGAAATTTTTAGTGTATGTGTGTGCTTGCAGCACTGTCCCTCCCATTTCACTTGAACGAATTGAGTGCGAAATTATTAGAAAATACAACAAAAATTTTATGAATATTTTCCTTTTAATTGTACAATCATGAAATTTAAAACTGTAGCTAACAATTAACATATGGAACAATCAGTGGGCTGAGATAAAGCGAAATCTAAAATGAAAAATCTCTCCAAAAATCAAAACATTGAAAAATCATTGCCAAAATTTTTTTATATTTTTTGTTTGTTTGTTTAGATTTGAAATTGTGGAAAATTTAAAATCTGAAGTTACGAAACACTTTATGTGTTTTTTGGTTAAGTCCCCAATTTCAAGAAGCAGACGCGGTGATGCAATGGTAACAGCTCAAATTATGCATACGCAGAAATCGTTTATTTTAACCGTTATGTGTATTTGTGAGAAATTTAAGCATTTTAGAGAAATTAATTTGTATTGAAATCAAACTCTTCTTGTGTATTAAAATTACAGAACACCAATTACTTCAGTGGAAAGAGGTACCTTTTCAGTGCCTTTAAAAAATATAATTTTATTGCAAAAGTTTTATACAAAAAATAGTTTAATTAAATATATATAAAAACCCATTTGGGACTGTTAAAAATTAATTTTCGGTGGTCGAAAATGACAAAACAGTACAAAACAGTGCAAACATATTTGGTACAGAAACGCTAACAGCAACAGATTCGCCTACAGCACTGTAACAGAATTTGAAACAGAAAGCAGCAGCAGCTGTATTGTTTCTATTTCTGTTACAAATTATGTTATGTGTTCTGTTGTAGTTTTAATGCACAAATGTGCCTTCTTCAGAGGATTTTAAGTATAGAAAAGACGGTTATGTTAATTAACATATTATAGCAACTGATGTGTAAACAGTCCCATCCTGTTATAATAAACTTTCAATTAACACTTTTTCTTTCTGTATTTGTTAAATATTCCGGTACAAACAGAACATAATAACAGCATATGCAATAAAACATTTAAATATCATAGAGCAACAGTAGTCTGTTATATTTTTATGTTTTTCGTTAAAGGCCATAAATAACGAACTAAAAAAAAGATTTAAAATACACATTAATGCTACTTTAATAATATATAAGACATTAATGGATAAATCGGCTCTAAAAATTGTTTAAGTTTTATGAAAATATACATTTGAGTTATATTACATATTGTAATAGGCGCAATACACAATTTAAAATAATTATTGATAAAAAAATATTATGTAAAATTTTAATAATATTTTATAATTTGCGCCTTAATTAAAGTTACAAAATATTGTAGAATATTTCATTCCGTTATAAAAAAATATATGTATGCATAAAAATAAATTAATGAATAAATTTTATTAAAAGTTGAGCTTGAATTAAGACTTTGCATCACACCAAATACCTGCAACAAAAGCTAAAATATAAATAAAAAATAAATGTGGCTCGATATTGTGAATGACTTCGAAAAAACTGACTAAAAAAACTTTTTGTAACCTCAAAAATTCTATATTTATTATGACATTGAAATAAATTTCTTATATTCAAATAAAAATAATGAAAAAAGCGTTAAAAGTAATCGCGCTATCGAGCAACGTTAGTTTATTATAAACACGCAATACACTAAAAAAAACTGGAAAAGCTGTGTTTAATTAGAAATAAATTTATATTTATTAATACAAATAATTTATAAAAAATAATTGTCTAGCTACAGATATAAACAGTATCCAGTGACATATGAAACTATATTTTTGTTTCACATTTCCTACTATTTAGTTACAAATCTATCTCTCTCTCTATCTCTATACCTCTGTGTCTTTGTGTCTTTCTTCCCTAATTTAATTTTGTTATGCGTTACTTTACATCATTCGTGTATTCATGAAAAGCAGATTTAAGAGCGGAGCTAAAAAGCGTTAATGCTAATTAGTTTCTTAATTAGACCTCAAGGATTGCCAGCTTCGCATTTCAATTGCCACATACTAGTAGTAAATACAACATCAACAACATTAAGAATGATAAAAAAATATTAACTAAACATGAATTTATTTAACTAAAATATGAGTAAAGAGTGTTTAACATTCGGTCCATTGAGCAAATTTATTAATTTCGAGTGAATTATCTCAAAAAACACATGGTAATGACTGGAGAAATACTATTTAGTACTATATAAAAAAAGATTTGTTTAACCCATTAAATCCCGAGTGTACTCCTTGTCCAAAAACAACCAGATGATTAGTAGCTCTCAACAAACCTCTGTACATTATTCGTATTGAACATTTGTATTAAATTGTGAGCCAAAACAAGAGAAAAAATACTAACTGTTAACAATAAAAGAGTATTTTCTGTTTTTCAAATTAGCTAAACATTTTACAAATAAAAGTAAAAGTTTGGAAGCCATTTTTGAAAATAGGAGCTATTTTCTTAGAAAAACCATTACAAATTGGCAATCAAAATTCAACTTTAAAATTAATGTGCGCTTAAAATTCTAAAATAAAATGTTTAGTAAATTTCTAGTAAATAGTTCTTAAATGCAAACAATATAAATTTCTAGAAAGCAGTGTTGAATATTTAAAATATTTTGATTTATTTTCTGCTCAATTTTCAAAAAAAAAAAAAAAACAATTAAAAAAAGCAAAAACTCTATATACCTATAAGGCTTAAAAGTACTTAAAGTTGGAATTCGAAAATTAAAATTTTTTTGCGTTTATGCATAAATGTAACTCCATTTGTATACAATATATATGTACATATATTATACACATATACGCCAATTTTTTAAATACATATGAAGCATAATCGTACTTATAAACCACATATGACTCATCTGTGTTTTATCTATATTAGGTACATACTCGTACATATTTATTATGTACTCATATATGGTATCAATTAATGTTTTCTTTGGATACTATGGTTTTACTTGGTGTCTCTAGTTTTAAAATAAAATTCATCTTGGTTATGTACACAAAAACACAATTAAATAAATTTCGATATGTTTATGGTTATATTATATACAATATTTAAGAAAGCAAAATTAAATGTATGTAGTATATATGTACAATTTTTTAGGCAATATCATACGACATTAATTTTTGATTAGATGTGCATTTGTGAAATTTTATTTATTTTGCGCTTAGGTTTTTAAACATAAAAATTACTATACTATGGAAAATTAGGACTTAAAAAAGATAAGCAAACAAATTTTGGCATTGGTTTTTCACACGTTAAAAAAAATCAAATGAATTATTTTTCAGTAAACGAAAAAAAAACTATAACTAATTATAATTATTTTAAGCATTTTGCACATTCTTAAATATATTATCTCTGTATGTGCAATTTATTGATTGTTGTCTATATACATAAATTAATCCCAAATGAAATGCGTGGAAATTCACTATTTTGCATAACAACGCCCCCTCCTAATGCTTGTGATGTGAAATTTTGCAATTTTCGATGCTATTCCTTTTACCCTTTGGTAAACATGCGAAATTGAGTAGCAAAAGCAATTCGAGAGAGTATTAGGAGTAACATTAAGAGCTACTCCCGTTATTGCTATTATCCTCTCCATATGTTATAATCATAATTTTTGTTGTATTTTTTAATAAATTTCCATGAATTACCCTTAAATTTTTTTGAATTTACTTAGTAATTATTACCAATTTTACTAATGATTGCCCGCATTTCTTGTTTTTGTTCAAATGTTCGTTATTGTTATGCGCACACACACATTTAGCTGGCCTTATTGAAGTGATCATCTACAGTTCACCCGATGATAAGAAGAAAAATCGCGGATTCTGCTTCCTCGAATATGAGTCACACAAAGCCGCCTCGCTGGCAAAACGAAGACTTGGCACTGGTCGAATCAAGGTAAGTGACACATGAAATGTAATCACAAATACTGAGTGTAATTATAAATAGTTCAATATTTAAATAGCAAAGCAAACATTTCTCAAAAAGACTACTCAAAAAGTTCCGAACGCTATTATTTTTAAATCGAAGTGGCAACATTAGCAAGAAGAGATCAAATAAAAAAACTTTAAATTAACAATAGTTTCTTTACTGCTCTTCTTTTTTAACTCTGTTAAAAACTCTGTTAAAATTGAATATATTAATTGGAACAAAATCAAAAATAAAATTTAAAAAATCATTAAAAATATAAAATTGTTATGAATTAATTAAGAACACTACTAAATTTATCCACTCAGGTCTGGGGATGTGATATCATTGTCGATTGGGCCGATCCGCAGGAGGAACCAGACGAGCAAACAATGTCAAAGGTGAAGGTCTTGTACGTGAGGAATTTAACGCAAGACGTTAGCGAGGAGAAACTAAAGGTAATGTGACTTTTACCGTAACAATTGAGATACATATTTAAAAAATTTTAAATTCACTCTAATAACAGGAGCAATTTGAGCAATTTGGTAAAGTTGAGCGCGTTAAGAAAATCAAAGACTACGCTTTCGTGCATTTCGAGGATCGTGATAGCGCCGTTATTGCAATGCGCGGCCTTAATGGCAAAGAGATTGGCTCTTCTAATATTGAGGTAATAATTTAACTCAACACTTTTTTGTATTGGTCAAATTATTAAATGTCAAAATTTTGGAAATTCACAGGTCTCACTTGCAAAACCACCATCGGACAAGAAGAAGAAGGAGGAAATCCTACGTGCACGCGAACGTCGCATGATGCAAATGATGCAAGGACGTCCCGGTCTCGTTGGGTAAGTGCTGCCGAGCTACTAAACTAATAGAAAATAAATTTAATGTAAAAACATTATTTAAAAATACACTAATCTAATCCCACCCTCTATTGGCGTGTCAAAATTCAAAAATACTACTAACAGATATATTGTGAATATTTACAATAACAAAGTTCCCTATACATACATATGTGCATCGGCTTTTGTGCTGCGTTTTTGATCGCAGCAAATTTCGGATTACAAAAACGAAGTTCACCACCACCACTTCGTGTGCGTGTGTGTTTGTGGATTGTCCTTAACCGTTTGAGCTCGTAATTCCTTTAAATGCAATTTACAATTTTTTAATTAATTTTTTATATTCTCTCTCTCTTTCTCTCTCCCCCTCTCTCTCTCACTCTGCACGCACTCAATTAATCATTCAATCAAACACTCCATTTGTGTACTTATTCACAATAAACATGTGACAAACAACAAATGAAAAATTAAAACAAAAATTAAAAATACAACAACAACGCAAACGAAACAAAAATCAAATATAAAAAAATACAAAAATAACAAAAAAACAAACATAAACGCATATAATGAAACTCACAACTGTTACATTGGCGCGTTGGCGCAACCGTCGCCCGTTGTTGTTGCTCCCTGTGTTTGTGTGTGTGTCTCTGTGTACATGTCAATTTGTAACTCATACTAGCTATGAACAATTATCTCCATACAGAAACCTATCGCCTACACATCCCAATATGATGTCCTTAGCAGCGCCAATGCGCTTGCCTGGTGGCCCACGAATACCGCTGCGCGCACCCATACCACGTGATTACGGTAAGTCACATAGCGTTTTTTACAAATAATAACACTCATTTAAATTAGTTTTAATACGTATCAACTAAATACATACATTCATATTATATACATAAATATGTACTTTTTGGATGGTTTATATTACATATACAAATACAATGTATTTTAATTACTTGAATTACAACTAAAAAAATTAATATTAAATTACAAATTAAATTTGAAAAAAAAAATAAAAAATTTTAAAAGCACTTGCTACAAAAGCCAGGATCGCTAAGAGGCGTCAAGTTAGTTTTGCAGTTGACATACGCAATATTGTATTGTATATACTACATAACTACCCATTTAATAATTGGAAACGATTTTTTGTTGTCTAAATAAAGCAAGCGTAAAAAGCAGTTGTAAATTTTTGGTAAAAACAAAAACGTTGTAATCAGCCATTATATAATACAAGTACACGTATTTCGCTAGGCAAATTAGCTACTTATAAACGTATGAAGTATCGTATCACTATTGTGACTGTAACTGCATACCCCCTAGAGCAATGGGTGTAAAGCAAAACTAAATTCTACATTGAGAACTAGTCTAACTAATTTACAATTAATAGTTTTAAAAAATTTTCTATTTTATATTTTAGTTGACTCCAAAAAAAAAACTTTATGTTTAAATTACTACTAACAATGAAATATCCCTCCCATTGTCCTTTTTGCGTAGTTTGTTTTGTTTGTCTATTTCCTAACCATTTATCACGCACCGTTAATTTTGAACCCAGCTTTTGCAAATAGCTTTTAACCCACAGAAATCATGCATTTTCTCATTATTTTCATATTAAATTTTCACATTAAATTTTCATCAAATAATTTTTTTATATTGTAATTAAATAAAAAAAAAATTATAAGCAAATTGAGATGTTTTTGTAATCGGTGTGTGTTAATGCGTGTCTAAGAAATCATTAGTACTATTGCATAATTTGTGTTATCGAAATTAATGTTGCACCTTTTCTATTACATTTCCTTAATTTCTCAAACATTTTCTAAATTAATCAGCAAGTATATAATAAATGTTGATTTATTGTTGTTTTTTCTCATCATCTATGTGTGTACTACTTTGTGTTCCGTTAAAGATACTGCATGTTCTTGTTGTTATTTACTATTACTACTACTGTTTGTTATAACCTTTTTGCATAAATTTGTTTTTATTCCATTTTTTATAAAGCAATGTACTAAAAAATTTATAACCAGTTTTTTTTTCTAAATGTTCAATGCAATTAAAATTCAAGTTTAACAACAAAAAAATAATAGCAACTAAATATTTTAACTTTAATGTTTAGTAATTTTAGTGATAAATTTCTTTTTTACTCAATTAAATGTTGCAAATGCCTCAACGTATAGCGAATTTCAAGCACCCTGTATACTATATGACGTTATAACAGCGGTAAGTAATAGCACTTGCAGTACGATTTATTAGCACTAGCCTGTACGCTTGTCTAAGAAAGCCGGCTTCGCACAAATTGAAAAACGCAATTTCGAAAAATTATGAAAAAAAACAGCGAAATCCGAAAAAACTTCAAAAAAAAAATGGAATAAAAACAAAAAACCTACAGCAACATTTCAATATGTTATAACTAAATTAACAAAAATTAAGCGAAAATCACAAAAATTATTGAATCCCTAACACGCAAAATTAATACGACCCCTATTTGTACCCTTTGCGTTCCACAACCCAAAAAAAACTTTGCTTCCAAATAAAAATTTTGTATACGAAAAGCGTTCCTGAGCAAACACAGCGAGGTCTGTCTTCAATCGGTTGTAAACGTCTTGACCAACACCCTGTATCCTATGCATAACATACCGTACGCTATGCTCCGCCATAAATAATGAAGGCTACTCTCTCACACCGCTCAGTACACACACTTATTCTTTGTAGCTATAGAGAACTATAGCTTTGGTTTTAGTTTGGAATATTTATATTTTCTTTTAAATTCTTTGTAGTTAGTCTTACATTTTAAATTCTAAATAAGAAATTAAGTTTTCGTTAAAGTGGTAACAAAGCAAAGTTCTATAGCGTGACCTCTCTGAAATATATATGTATCATTCTCATAACACGTCAAATAAAATCTTTTTAGGCATTATTTCATATTTAGGTTAGATTAGGTGGTATAAAATAATTGGTTATGGAGTTATCTTTTGAATGCAGCAGGTTATAAGTACTAGGTTGAAATAAATTTATTATTATTTAGTAGAAAATTGTGGCTGGCATTTGAGATTATGATTTTTAAGTTATGAAACAAATTCCACTTTGACAATTGGATCTTATAAAACGTAAAAACTGGCGATTACAAAACTTTACCAGTTCTTATGAGAGGAATACGGTGGAAGTTTCGGAATAAAAACGTTATAGAAAAGGGCTACAAATCAAGTTCAATGTTAATTTTTTTTTTTTGTTTTTTTTTGTTTTTGAAAAATAAAAATAACATTAACAAAAAAAGTTAGCAAAAAACATTATTTTACTTTTCAAATCATCAGAAAAATATCAGAAAACAGATTATGACTAAAATAGGTATGCGTCGAAAAATCTGAGAATAAATTTTTCGAAACCAAAAAAAAAACTGATGTCCCAGAGAAGGGATAGAAAGCAGCTCGAAATTTATTTTGGCAAATGAATATTCACATACAAATTGGCAGAAAACATTATTTTAGTAGTCAAATCATCAAAAAAATATCAGAATAAAGACAATGACTCTACTAGCTATTCCTCAAACTTCCAAATGTCAAATGTCAACATCAGACAGATATTTAATGTGTCGCAAACTAATTAATATAAATGTTAAAATATAGATGAAATAGTATATAATCTACTATTTTTTTATTACTAAATTTAAAGTTGATATAGAGAGGTTAACGCTATAGAATTAAACTGCATTACCCATATACATACGTACATATGTATATAAGCATAGTTATTACAACATATTTACATCTTCTAAATTGTTGAAAATTTAAAAAAAAAATTAATATTTTTGTTTAATCTAATTTGTTGTTTTGTAATTTTCGAACATTTGGTCAACATTTCTTAATAATTTTTAGAAGAAAAAGTTGAAAGAAGCACGAAAAGAATACCACAGCAAAATTTTTCCCAATTTATAGATTATGATTACGACTTTTATGGTTATTCGGATTATCGTGGCGGCTACAATGAATCCTATTATGACGATTTTTATCGCACCTATGATGGAGAGTACTTCTTTGATTATCCACCGAGCGGTGTGACACCATTGCCAACTGGTGGACCCGCTGGTGGACTGCAGAGAACGGCCAGAAATAATGTGGTGGGTCTTACATTCTTCTACTACTACTTACTACTTACTACTACTACTACTACTACTACTACTACTTCTATTAATACATACTGTTGTTCCCACTACTATAATACAAAAACCCCACACTATACAAATCCCGCAGCTCCAAAACCTGTCATAAACGCAGTTTGGCTTACACTTTAAAATATGTATTTGGAAACATTTTGCATTTTGAACCAGCGACATGTCTTATCTTTCATATTTCAAATTAGTGGTGAACAATTTATTTATCTTTCTTTTTCGAAATTGTTGTAGAAGCGCTCGTAGAATATTGAAATTTAACCAACTTTTGCTTTTAATTGAACAAAATTTAATATTTTTTTGATTTTTTCTTTTCATGCTTTTATTTATTTATGCTTTGTTGAATTTTGGAATGTACGAAATTTAATTTTGTACAAAATTTAAAACTTAAAGTCAAAGTACACACAAAAGGATAGAAATAAAGACATAATCTTACACGAACCCATTCTTACCATTATCAACACTGTGTTTAACAACTGCAACGACAATGCGAAGACAACATCACAAATTTTAAAATCGCCACAACTAGGCATCAAAATTTTGGCCTCACTCATGCTTTCAGGAATACTTTTTCGAAAACCCTAACTATAGTATTAGTTTTTATCTAAATCCTTATATTATCTACATAGTATGTTAAGTACAAACATTTGCCGTACCGTCCTGTGAGTGTTAACCGTTATGTGCACCCACCTGCATTTAGAAAAGTAAGAAACGTAAAGAAACCGCCATACCTAGATACAAATTCATCCGATACTATTAAAAACTAAAATATACTATTTTTTTTCATTTTTTGTTCAAATCCTCAATGCATTTTCTTAACACCAAACCAATTCAACACTTCCATTGAACAAGCTTTTACTAAACATTTTTTAAATATTTTTGATTTTGTTGTTTAAATCGCTTTTTGTATTCATTAATTTAGAAAGCTTTTTATTTTTAATGCTGATTTCCTTCATTAATTTAATCACAAGATATTTCTTTGCCTAGTTGTTGAGTTGTTGGCTTTAGTACAAATAGTAAAAAAATTATAAAAATTAAATATGTGAAATACAAAACAAAAAATTATACTATTTTTTTTCAAATTTACAAGCATTGCCAACAATTATAGTACAACTAGGCATAGTAAACTTCATTTTGTTTTAAGTTTACAAAAAATGAGCTGAACGAAGTGTGCTATTAAAAATTTGTATTTGCAGAATTTGAATATTGAGTTGGAGAGTACATTCACAAATATTAAGTTGGTCTAAGGAGTTATTACACTATTTTAAAGTTCAAAAAATACCTAATTTCTGAAAAAAAATTAATTTATTGCTTAGGCGTTTTAATTAATGAAGTTTTCAAGGAATTTTTTTTCTTGAGATCGTAAGCCTGAAGGCGTCGTAGATCAAAATGTATATTTTTGTAATTCTTAAAATAACAAAAAAAAGTTCGAGGAATTCTAAAACGCTGAATATTTGGAGAGAAAGTTGCCTTTTTATTCTAAAATAAAATCCCAAAATTTTTTAATTATCCAAATTTCTAGTTAAACAGTTAAGAATTGAAGCACTCCTATTACCAACCTATAGATAACGTTATATCTTATTTCTAAGGTCCGAGTGTAAATTTTAATCTTAAAATTATTTTTCGTAAATTGAAGGATAACTCTTTATATAATTGAGCAGTGAAAATAACTTAAGTCGAATTGACTAATTTAGTTGATAGGTATAGACTTAATTTTGGAATTTTCAGTAAACGAATTACTAAATTAAATTTTATCATAAAAGAAACCTTTTTTTTAATTGCATTTTCAGAAACCCTTGTTTAAATTTAGGGGTTTCTAAATAAAATTTTCATTACAAAAGAACATTACATAATTTTTTCTTAAATTTGTTAACAACCATTCATACTCTAAATTTGATTTTTTTTTAAAATTAATTTTTAACTTGCGAGTGTGCATTATTAGCTTACTTTACAATAGTTTTCGTATTCCACTACCAATTTCAATACATACTTACGGAACTTTGGCCCTCCATACCCGCCGTCACCAATTTACATATGCATATATTCTCCCCTCGATATTGAAGTTCTTGCAGCTCACACGGAGAAAACAATTATGTTTTAAATTTGCTTTATATGCTTTTTGTTAATTAATTTTAAAATTTATTATATTAGATAAGTGCTCACTGCCGCCTACTAACCTAAGCAAACTAACCTTAAGCTTATTTATTTCATTTAAATATCGACAATAATATTGGCATATGTGAATAAACACAATTTGTATGTAATATGGCCTCGTAAATCGCTTAAATATTTTATAACAAAATAATTTCTTTACTTCCAAATTTTACAATTCAGCATTTTTATAAATAATGATTTTAAATTGAGATTTCCAAAACCAAATGTGTCAATCGCAAACTCGAAAGAATTTTTTTTTGGTTAAAACTTAAAAGTATTCGTACATATTTTGAAAAAATAGTTTATTTTTATGAAGCCTGCATTTAACTGTACCGTTTCAATTACGTGATCAAGTTAAAAACAGGCGTGCAAAAAGTACAAAAATATGGGGAAATTATGTTTTACGTAAGTTCTATTCATGCATATACTACATACAAACATACATTTATTTCAAATATATGTTATATATTTTTATGCCTATGTATACATACTTAAGTATTTCATATTTTGTTGGAGCCTTAGTGACTTGAAAGTCGCTAGACCAAAAAGTCTACGAAATTTTATTGAATTATACAGTTATATGCTGTGCAAAAACAAAAAACAGGAAATTTATATAAATATCTGGCAATACTACATTTAGAGACTATACATTACATATGAAAATTTTTTCCAAGTACAAATTGTGTCGCTTTGAATTTGGAATTATTAAGTTTAAGCTTTTATACTTTTCACAAGTTTTTTATGAAGACATTAATTTTTATTATAATTATTCATATTAATTGATTTTTAAACATGAAAATCTAACGCGTTAATTTCGATTTTTTCTTTTCTTTCTTTTTCTTTTTTATGTTTCGGTAAATACCAAATATATCATCTTAAAAAAATTATATATATATGTTCGTCAAATCACAAATACCAAATACAAAACAAAACTTACCAATCCACAACAACAAATCTGAATAAAAAAATTTGCAAAAATGCTCACAACTGCGAAATTTTAAAACTGCAACCACAACCATTTGTTTTAAAATGAAACCATTTCGAAATCACCTGTTATCTTTCGCAAACAAAAATCAAAAACAAAAACCTCTTTTATACTATCTTTTTCCAAACTTACTAAATGAATGAATTCTATTTTTTTTTTAACATTGAACCGAATTCAAATATGTGCCGGAAAAATATTATGAAAACCCTTCAAAAAATATGAAAATTTGAACCATACACCGGAAATCAAAAATCGTATGTTTATCGAAAACCTATTTTACTAAAATCGTATACCGTTACTATACTACCATTGCATTATTGTCTAAAACAAAAACCATAAATTATATTGTTAAATTTGGCTACCACCCTTGGCGATTCATGTATATGAATTTATATATAAACAACAAACATATATATTGTGTACATCATGTATTATATATACATAATGTTTGTGCGAACGATTTGACAACGGCGCTCTGCACGTTCCGAAAACAATGCGGAATAAACGCAAACTAACATCGTCCAAAAACCACCAACCAACTGAACTACCAACCAACCAAACAACCAAACAACCAACCGACCAATCAACCAACGAATTCGATATTTCTCTATTGAAACTTGCGAAATTTGTGAAAACCCGAATACCAAATAACCAACTTTTACACACATACATACGAACACACAATCATACGATACTCACACATATACAACAAATATATATATAAACACATAACTGAAACGATTGTAAACCACAACAACAACAACAATAACAACGACAACTACAACATCACCAACAACCACAACAACAACAATCACAACTATAACAACAACAGGGGGTTGGTCGTGGACGTGGAATCACGGCCACGCGTGGCCGAGCCGTTGGGCTCCGTGGCAACATCAGCCGTCAGGGGGCCCCTCAAGCGGCGGCGGCGGTGGTGGCGGCGGCGGCGGTGGCAGTTCAGCGGGGGGCCACCGCTCAGGGGGCTCAGGCAGCAACCGGGGGGGTCCGTGGGGTGGGACAAATGCGTCCCAACGCTCGTGGCACCCAGCACGCCAAGCCGCTACAAAATTTACCAGGTGAGAAATTCATTTCAACCAAATTTATTACAAGAAAAAAGTAAAACAAAAAGAAAAAAAAACAATAAATAATAGTGCATCAAAACAACATTGAAAATACCATAAAGCAGAATAAACAAAAAAAAAATTAAAATAAAATAAAAAAACAAAAACAAATCCATAATAATTATGATTATAAAACAACAAAACAACAACAACTACAGCAGCAACAATCACAGCAGAGTCAGTGTGTATGTAAGCTTAATTTACAACATAACAGTATCAGTAATCAAGCAAACAAAAACAATATGAAATGAAATCAAAGGATAAGCATTTGTTTAAACTGGCTAATACACACCTACATATAATTAGCATTAGTAATTACAATACATTTTTATATTACCAACAAACATACACACACATACATATATATACTCGTACATACACATACGCTTACACACTTGCAAGCAAAAAATCACAGAGTTGTATTTTGTAAAAGATTTCAATAAAATTGCATATGTGTGCGTCAACGAATTGCCTACACAGCCAACGCACACATATATTATATACACACATTCATCGATGTATTTGATGCAACAACAATGTAGGAAGAAGTCAAGTTGGTTGTATTGCATACAGCTGAACTGTGTACTGTTATTTACTGTGTTAGCGAGAGTTCCCTTAGAAGTGTGCTACGATTACTACTTTTAAGTACTTTTTATTATACGAGTAATCATACAGATGTAATGTTGTTATTGTGCTAGCGGAATATATACTTTTCTACGATTTTTTTTACTGCATACATGCATACGTACTAGTAACACTTACTCTATTGTTAATTAATTAGTTTAAAAAAAACAAAAACAAGTTTACTGTTATCATAATTATTGCTAAACATATATACATACATACATATATTGTAACTGTTTCTTGTAATTAAGTTAAACAATAGTTGCTAATTACAAGTTTGATATTATTATTATATTTTTTTTTCTTGAATATATTCACAAAAACACTTACAGTTACGCCACAACTAGTTTTTGAAATTCGAACACTTGAAATTAAATGTTATCATTTTTATTAAATTCTATAATTTTTATTTCCTCGTGTGCACCCGCACATACACGACCCCCTGGCTCTTTGATGACTCGCTTTTAAGTTTCAATACTTCAAAAATACTTACAATACATTTATATGTATGCTGTATGATTTGTGTAAATCTATATATTTTCTCTGTCACTCTCTCTCTCTCTCTCTCTTGTTGTCAAAGTAATTTTTAGTAATGTGAATTATCATATAATATAGTTGAAATTTATTCATTATAATCTGCAAATTGTAATTATTTTATGCATAATTTTAGTACTTTACATTAATTATTTAATTAATTAATTACTCGATAGTCGTTTACTGATATGAATAATTTGTTGTTCTAATAATAACACACAATTAATTTTTAAATAAGTAAATAAAATATTGTATTTTGTTCGCATTTTGTAAGAAAGAAAAAACATTTAAATAAATATGAGACTTGCGCTCTCGCACTCGAACTATTACTTGTGTGCTCTCTTTCTAGTACTCCTACTACGAAATATATACTTCGCTTGTTTTTTTTTATTTTTATTTTTTGTTATTATGGTCTGTCAAAAATGGAATGTAGAGAATTGCGCCATTTTTCTTTTGTTGTTTGTTTCTCCACTTCTCTTTCACTTAGTTTAAAAAATTTGTTTTTGTAGTACGAAGGTTTCATTGGGTTGCTGGTTGGGTTCGGCGCGAAATGTATGCATTCTTTTGCACTTTTGTGTGCATTATGCGGCCGTGGCTGCACGTTATTACATTGCAGTCTAAAAGTACAGCTACACGAGCATAATTTCCTTCATAAGCTTTAGCTTGCGTCTAAGCTTTTTGTATCTACTACTTTTTTTAGTGTACTCTCTACCTCACTTTCTCTGTCATATAAATATTTCATATATTTTTATGCCCTGCATGCAGTTTGTGAATTTTGATATGTATGTACATATATTTTGCAAATAAAATAATTAAATATTTTCGATACTTTCGTTATGCTTGTTGTTAGTGTGAAAAAAAATTAAAAATAAATTTAAAGAATCACATACATATGTACGAAGCTTAATTGTTGTTTACATGTAATTGCATGTTTGTGTGTCTGCATTTTGGCAGCTTAGCAACAATGACGCAAAAGGAGAATATATATAAATACTCAGCGACCCAACCACGGCACATTCATTTCTTACAAACAAACATACACGCCCTGTATGTTCCTAATTTACTTTTGCTCATTATTATTATAATTTTTTTCTCTCTTCATACACTCTTCATTTTTTATATGGTTTAAAAGGCAGTAATGAATCGATTAGTATTTAATAGTCAGAAACAAAACTATATACCTAAAAAGTATGACACACACAAACACATATTTGTATGTATGTGTAACATTACTTACTTCCCGCGTCCGCTTTGATATCCATGTTTCTTAAATCTGTGGCGCTGAGCAAATTTTTTTTGTGCGGCGCTTCAAACTGTTTTTTAATTAAAAATTACTTAATATATATTAGTATATATTTTGTGCACATATTTTTTTAGTTATATAGTGACCTAATGCATATAAGTTCATCATTAAATACATATATATATATATATGTTTTTATACACGGATACATGCGAAAATGAAATCGGTTTTCAAAAAAATTAATAAATAAACATTTATATGAATTAAAACATATTCGAAACAAACAAAAAAATGAAAAAAGATCAATCAAAAACACAACCACCCGGCATAGAGTTTTAACGGTTATTTGTTATAAAACAAACCTAAGACAAATGGCATTTCATATATGAGTAATATATGGAAAAGCGAAAACCCCAAAAAAAAAATTCAAACCAAACACCGTACAAAATTCCTCTTTCTCCAATTGACGTGTATATATAATTTTTTTAAGATTCGATATTTGTTTTGTATTGATTCGAAATCTTTTTTGACATGCAAACATACATACTACTAACATTACATAAAACAATTACATTACAGTTATGCAAACAAAAAAAAAATACTTGCCTTTGTTGTTAACGGAAAACTACTAGTAGTTTTTAGTTTTTAAAATTTGACACTGAAAAGCCAAACGAAGTAAGTCAATGAACACACAGTGTTATATGAGTGATAATATTGTTAATAGTTAAAATTATTGGATCTAGCAATTTATTGCAGTAAATAATATAAATATTTAATGTAATTATAAAATACTTTTTAGGGGATTAAAATGGATTTGCACTAAATTAGTAATGGTGCCGTCGGCAACATAAAAGCACCAAAATATAAAAAAAAAGAAAACAAATTCGTTTTATCTTATCTTATCTAACAAACTTTCGTTCTCATATTTATTGTCTACAACATAACAACTGGAATTTTCTTTAAGCTCTTATTCACCTCGTAAAGTCTGAGAAAGCTTCAAAAGAGATTTCAAGGAGTGACAAATATTCGAAAAATTTTTAAACTTACCATTTTCATTTAAGCTACGTTCTCCATTAGAAACTTTTGGTGTTCCAAAAAAATTCTCCCAAGAAAAAAAGTATAGAATTAAAATAGGTATTTACTTCATTCCAAAAAAAACAACTCTTCAAGATTTATCAATTTTGAAAAATCAAAATATAAAAAAATTAGTTTAATAATATTAATCACAATTTTCTTAAAACACGCATTTGTACAATAAGGTTGAGCCTCACACACAGCGAAATGCGTTTCGGTGCTGCTAATTAAGACTACGCTAAGGAGAACAAGAAACAACTAAATTATATAAGCCTCTTTAATATCCATGCATAATGAAGACAATGCAGTAAGAATGGAGAAATATTAACGAAAATAGGTAGAGATCAATATTGATCAATTTGCCACGAGAGTCGGGTCTGTGTAACTAGAACGGTTCTAGATTCTGAACCTTTCCAGTATTATTGAAGCGGCAGTATATTGAAAAATTATTTACGGACTTTTTTTACTCCACTACGACAACAACAGCCAGTTTTGCCAAAGTTTAGAATAGACATAAACGAGAAAGGTCATACACATTATGAACATATTTACCCTGGTTTTTCGTATCACACCTCTTTCGACGGCATTATCGCTTAATTTATTTAGGGAAATAGATAAAAGTAATTGGAAACTTATATTGATATAAATCGAAATAAACATATATTAACATAACCACAAAATTTTTTATATATACATATATGTATAACCTTAACATTAACAATTCAGCAACAAAAACAAATATTGCTCAAACGCAAGCACGCAATTTTCAAAAACTATTTTCAAAATCTTGTTGCGATTACACAAAATTTAATAAAAACTCAACTTTGGGAAAAACAATTTTAATTAAATGAATAACAATGTCTAATAATAAATGTCTTGTAAAATTTGAATACTAAAGACTATTATTCGATTTGCGTGTTTTAAGCAATATATGCAAATATGTAATTAGTAAATAAATGCAAATAATTTGGTAACTAAATATAAATATGTGTGTTCGTTTGATTTATTTTCTTCATTAAAATTTTATTTATTTATAAAGTAAGTGTGCAATTCTAAAACAAAATATTCATGCCACACTAAGTTTTACACAGCTAACAATCGTTCCTTTTTTTATAAAATCATTATTATTTTAAATATACATTAACAAAACATAAATGCACAACTGCTACAACCACAACTACCACTATCCACTTCGCCACACAATTTTCAGAAATATAATTTATAAAATAATGCTCGTTTATGTTTTAGTGAAAGAATAATCTTAAGCAAATATACTTTCTTGGTATTATTTTAAGTATGTATTCATCTAATTATGCGCGCAAATCAACATACATACATACATACATACTACTACTATGGAAATAATTGAATTGAAATATAGAAAATACTAATCGATTCGTTATTTTGCATTAAGCTTTAGTTTATATACAAATTATAGACATACATACATACATACATACATATGTGTAAGTAGTTGATGTACGAATTTAAAGCACATAAAATCACACACATACATATATACATATTCATATAGCATTGTAAATATATATTTTTGATTCTTATTTAAATTGCATCATTATCATTAAAAGTTAGTATTTTTGTTGTTGTATTTGCATTAAGTTTTCTTTAAGGTAGTTATATATGATATATATGCTCTGTGCTTCTAATAACTGTTTTATCTTAGAGTTTGAACAGTGTCTTGTCGTACTTTGTTGTGGAGTCTATTGACTGAAATAAATTAAAGCTTCTATTACATTTTATGAATAGGTAATAAAGGCGAAGGAATATGATGTTATGAAGTGTTATTTTTTTTTTTTTTTTGATAGGTCGTATAACCGTCTGAGTGATTTTGACCAGGCCTTAATAATTCTCCCGCCGTTTCTTTGTTTCGCCGACTTTGTTACAGTCAGTTGATAAAATTTTTGAATACAATTTTTTTTTCTATTAGTCTATTTGCGTTAGTATATTTAAAAGTTTCATCTGTGATCTGTCATACGATAATATCAATTTTACAACAACTGAAAAGTTCCTTCTAATACTGCTTTTGATTCCGAAATTTTATGATTTTTAACCTCAAATTGAATTAGGTTTTAGGGATTACTTCATAAAATTGCGCTAAGAGTGTTTAAATCGGTTGCATCGGAACAACTTTTAAACTTTTTGAAAATCATCGTGTTGAATAATAAGGTTTTTAAGGTCATATGTAGGTTATATGAACTTGACGCATTTTTCATTTAGTTAAATAATAAAATGATTCGTGTAATCAATTGTAGACTTTCCATAAAAATGGAGTACTTGAAACCATAACCTAACTTTATTTATTGTAAACATTTTTGTAGATGTTTTGTTTGCAAGACATAGTTCATTGTTATCAAGCACTATTGTGTATGTAATTTTTGCAGTATCTCCATTACATATCATTTTTCAAACATTCTTTCTCTTTTCTGCACTGACAAACAAACGGTGTTCTCTTAGCATCCATCGGAGTACATGCGTAAAAATTTAAACATCAATAATAATTACCGTCTACAAGTGAAATGAATTTACTTACAAAATTGATGAAGAATAATGAAAATAATTGACAAAAAAAAATATTGAATTTCTACCAGTAATGAATACCAAATGAAACGAATGAATGAACAAACATACCAGTACCAGGAATTAAACTATTCATATGAACGCAAAATTACAACTTCAATCAAACGAGTTATCCACACAAAACAATATTTCAAATATAAACTAAAATTAAACAGAAAGTCAACTTTGACACCCGTTTAAAACCCCAGGGAGAGAACTACTATCAAAATTATTACTTGCAAGTACTTTTGTTGGACAAAAATTTTAAAGAAAACATTAAAATACAAGAAGCAAGGGAGTCCAACCACAAACCAAATGAGTACTCCTTTTCTATATATAATTTTGTTTCAAGAACAAATTCAAGCAGCGTCCTCAGTCTACGCGAATTCCTAACCTCAACAACTACCGACGTTGCCAACATTCTTTACATTTCTCTCGCTCTACTACTGCCGCTAACTATTATCTATCATTCAATTAGCTATTTTCTATGTACATATATCTGCACTTGATTGATTCATCTAGATATAGTATGCATATATAATTTTAATATGTATGTGTAATAATATACTCATATAATTTTTTGTATTTTGTTTTTTGTCATTTACTATGTTCGTTGATTGTTTTTTTTTTCAATACTCGTACCTCACATATTGTAAATTTTCTATCATATTATTTCCTTTTGACGAGAGAAAAACAAAAAACCATTTTGTATAATGCAAAATTTTGTCAAATTCTGGAAATAAATTTCTTCTTGTGTAATGATACAATATTAAAATACAACGAAGGTATTTTTATTTAATTACTTTTATTTAATGTTTTACTCCGCTTGTCCAAAACCGCTTACCAGATTACATCGAAACCATATATACAATATATTTTCATTTCCATACAGGTTGCCTCCGTTGATTTAGTGCCCTTTTGTATATATTTTCCATTATTTGTTGTAATTTTTAATTTTTAAAAACCCAATTGTAATGTATGTATATTTTATGTACCTAATTATTATTATTTTTTTTCAATTGGGAATTTGAATATTGAAAGAAATTACATAAGTAAGGCAAGCATTTATGAATGGAAATGAAAAGAAGTTTGGAAAAAATATTTTTTTAAAATAAAAAACAAACAAATAAAGAGAAATAAGAAATGAGACTATTATCTACGAATTTCCATTCATAAAATAAACAGAAACTAAAAGAAATAATCGAAGTTTGTATGGAATCAGATTTTAAAATACCGTTAATGCTTAATAATCCAGAAATTTTGTCATGATGCATTGAACAGGTCAAAAATAGAGTTTCGAATTGTTCATATAACATTCTTAAAAAGTTTATATAAACATAAAATAATACCGTTTACTTTTCTCTTTTCTCTTTGAATAAAAACAAAACACACACACTCACAAAAAACAAAAAAAAAAATATTTCGACGAAAAAAATTTACAAATTCTACACAACAATATGACAACCTCCAATTTTTGCAATCCTGTGCAAACACACACGTGACCGACGACAACCTTTAACGAGTGCAGTAGTCGGTAAACGTAAATTCGATGGAGGTCACCAAAATCCTGCAGATATTAAGCGACGTTACCCGAGCGGTTTAATCGGAAATGGCAGTTGGGGCAGTATACCGTTACCACAACAACCACTGGGCACCAATGGCGAGCAATGGTACACAGATACATTTCCAAATTGGGCTTAAATAGTTATGATAATGACTAATATAAAAAAAAACACAAACAACAACAAAAAACTACAACAACAAGCGCATATTACAATAAAAATAATAACAACTACAACAATAAAATGAAAACGACAACAACATTCAGTTGCAGTCATTACAAAAGCAATTACATTAGCAATAATAACAACAACAACAACAAAAATTATATAATAAACACATTAAAACAACAACAATTACTATAACAGCACTTTGTTGTATATTTCAAATTTTTAAGCAGTGGAAACAAAAACAAAACTAAACATATGTGACAACAATAATAACAAAAACAACATAATTGAAAATTTTAAATGCATGTAAATAAAAAGTAGCTAAGCCGTTATAAAACATAAAAATAACAAAAACAATGTTGCATACCATAAGTCCATAAGGAAAGTGGTGCAAAAAATTGTCATCTCATAGTCTCTTTTGTAATATCCCATAGACATACTGCAACAACAATAACAACAACCATGCATATGTGTATATTTTCTACATATGAATACATAAGTGCATTAAAATAATTACTAAAAAAAATAATTAGAGAACGTAGAGTGACAATGATGCGGAGAAAATGTTTAAAGTTGCCGAAAATCTTACAAATTTCACCTTTTGCGGGAGGGAATATAACGGAAGTCAGTGCGAAAATCTATAAAATAAGCATAAAGCAGGCATCATGAAAAATTATGTATAAATGTGTACTTGTATGTAACTTTCCATATACATATGTATGTATTTGTGTGCAAACACTTAGAAAATATAAGAGTTGCCTTTGCAGCCCGTAATTAGCAACAACTTCAGTCACACAGACATACTTCATAAACGTATTTGTACACACATTGGATAGCAGAGGGTGTTATTTTAAATTACAAAAATAAAAATTATATATACATACATATGCATACAAATAATAATAAATAATTATACTTAAACTTCTCCATTGCGAAAATTAGTAAAAATTAAATGTAATAAACAAAAACAATAGAAAAAACATTGAGCTGTACACATTTGAAGATTCACGTCCGTAAATTTCACAATTAAAAAGAAAATTATTATGTAAAAACTGCATGTAAATGCAAAAAATTTTAAATAAAATTTGTAGTCTGATTCGGCGCAGAATAAAGCATAGCAAATGAGAAATATATTTGCAAAAATAAACAGACAACAATTTTTAACAGGTACACTCTTACGTTTCTTCGCTGCTTTGCGCATTTTAATTACGTACACACATACAACAATAAATTTTTAAACGCCATAAAAAACAAAAAATATTAGTGATTTGAAAAGAAATGCATTTTATCTAACATTACAGCTGCAAATTCTTAATTCTTGAATTAAAATAACAAATCGTGAACTAGTAAAAAATTCAAAACTTAGGTTTAAGAATGAACAGTTGTCAGAAAATATGGCTATCATTTAATTGTTAAAACAAAACAAAAACTATTTCGACAAGCACTTTTTATACATTATTATATACAAAATACAGACAAGTATAAACAATACAAAATAAAAAATATAAATTTAAACAAAAAATATTTTACAGCAAAAACCTCCCAAAATATCTAAAAACACACACGAATTTGTAAATATGTTGCCGAGTAATTAAAAAGAAATTACAAATTAAATACACATAAGACTAGTAAAACTTTAAATAAAGCGTCTTAATTTTGAACACAAAAATATATGTACGTCTTGAGTGCTGAATTGAAAATTGCAAAAAATTAAAAAAAAAAAAAAATTTTAAAATATTTACTTTGAAAATTCAAAAAGCAAAGCTTGGCGAAGAAATTGACTGACAATTGAAAATTCTTAAAAATTATACATGATTAGCAAGTATGTATGTATATGCAAACTCATACGATTATAATGGACAACAATTTATATGATAATGCATACAACATATGTATATGTAGTAAAAAAATTACAAAAAAAAACAAAAACGTTTGCAATTATATGATGCAATTTAAGGAAAATAGCCGACAAATGGTTATTTTGTGCGAAAGTGGACGGCAGCATGTGGCATTATTGTGTAATGTTGACATGCTTGTATAAAAAAAAAATTAAATATAAATTTTAAACCTTAACGGATAATATACAAAAAAAAAACAAATTGTTGAAAAAACACTATTCTCTGTTTTAAGTTTTGTAGTTGATGACAAAATTTCGGCAATTTGTTTGTGCATTGTTTGATTGAATCATTTTTTATAACTTAACAAAAATAGATAAAACTTTTTGACTTGTGCGTAACTTAAAAAATTCAATATTTTCGAAAGTATTTCAAAAAAAAAAAAAATTCGCAAAGTAAATATTTCTATAAATTAAAAAAAAAAACTTTGTATTTTCTCAAAAACAAAAATTGTATTATACGTAGAAATGTTGTTGGCAATACAAAATATAATATTATCTTAAAGCAAAGGGAACAGTTGGATCTATTCTTATTTCAAAAAATAAAAAAATAGTACTGTTGGGAGGTGTAGATAATATTTCAAAATAAATTACAAGAACTCATGAGAAAAAACGTAATTAAAATAATAAAAACTGCGTTTAGTGTGTAACGTACAGTAACAAAATAGATACAAATAAATAAACTGGGTTAATTGAACCAGCAAATTATCATAAAACACGGCAACGAACTAATTAAACATCACATTATGATTTTATATTTATGTATTTTTAATGCAAACAAAACAAAAACAATTTCCCGTAAGAAAACCACTATAAACAATGAAGATATCTAGAGCAAAAATTAAGCTTAACGGTGAAAACATCAGTGTCACATATTTATATAGTATAAAACAAAATATGAAACTTTTAAAATATTACAAAAGTAAGCGAATACGTATAAAAATCTTAAAAGAAACATATACTTCTTTAGATACATATACATATATATGTATATACAATATATAAATTTCCCTAAATACAATTGACTAATCAATAATTAATAAAAATAGTAATGCAAAATCGGAATTAAAATAATTCATATATATATAAAAGCAAATAAACGATTCAAGTATCCACATGCAATACAAAAAAAAAAAAATAACCTAACATAACCTAGAATTATTTATGCCCCAAGTTACATAACACACGAGTAAAGATAATCATACATAAATGCTCTTAAAATAAATAACAAAAAGTGAAATAGTGAAGAAAATCAATTACTGCACACGCACGCCACAAACACATTTCGGTAGCAGTCAACCAATAATACAGGGTATCTGGTGTTCCATTGTTTGAAAGAAAGAGCAGTGCGACAGAAAGAGAGAGGAGCGAAATTACTAAAGAATTAGATTCTGTTTCTGCAGTTTATTTCCACATTCTTATGCGTAAAGTAAAAATGGATTGAACATTTAAAAACCGATAGAATTTCTGAAACTTTTCAACCGAATAAAATATATTAGTTGGCAAAATTTAATAAAAAAAATGTATACAATTTCTAGAAAACAAAAATATTTTTGCCACTTCATCTCCCACTTAATAAAAAAGTGAAATAAAATTTCTAAAAAGTAAATTCTAAATATTTTTTGGCACTTCATTTTCCACTTGATTTTAATAAAAAGTGATTTCAGTTAATGAAAGTCATCTATAAATTCAAATTGAACATTTTAAAACAATCTCAAAATAAAATTGTGTATAAATGCAACTCAAACAATTTAAATTTGACTAAAAATCCATTTTGCTTTCAATCACATCCATAGTTTACGCTTTTCAATAGCTATAATAAAAATAGTGAGTCTTGCAGCCTATGCAAACCTTCTGCATTTTCGCATAAAAAGAAAAACGATTCATTGATCAAAGAGTAAAGGGGAAATTATTATAATATATATATTTAATTCAAACCTAAGCTTTTGCACTTTTTTTTACCTTTTACCATTATATATTCATTTTATGTATTCATATATATTACACACTTAAAATATATTTCTACAATATTTTTGTTTTCAATAAAACTTGAATTATAATTAATAAAAAATTACACGTACGCACATAAAATACTATAAAATGTAAACACACACCATATATATATTTGCAAATTCTTTTAAAATTTTAAAAAAATTCATAATTTTACGTATGCCTGCCCCAGAAAAGCCGTGTGAAAAATTAAAAAAAATTTAAACTATTACTAATATCACGTTATACACATAAAAACTAAGAGAAATTTTGGCATATACCATATTAAAAAAAATATATTACATTATGATTGGTGACTTTAAAGCATATATGTATGTATGTAAAACCACTTCTACATTTTAAAAATGAATTGCAAATATTTTGTATTTTTACTATAAACTTATGTTTTATTTTATTTAGTCTAACATTTTATTGTTTTATAATTAACACTTAAATTTAAACTTGCAAGAAATGAAATTGTACTGATTTATGTTATATGTATGTATTTTAAGTTATGTTGTTAAAAAAAAAAATAAAAATATATTAAAATATATTTGAGTACATTTAAAAAATATATTTAATCAAACAATAAACCACTGTACATTGTCATATCTGAGTGTATATTTAGCAATAAAATTTATTAATAATTGATAATATTCAAAATTGTTTAAATATTTTATAATTTCTTTCACAATTTTCCATAATTAAAATTTTTTTTTTTTTGCAGTGCAAGTTTAAAAAAATGTTATTTTGTCACTAAAATTTAAATAGGTATTTTAAATTACTTTCGTACCATTAAAAAACATTAGTGTTTAATGAAATTAATATGAAAATATTAATTTTTTGTTTTGATATTGACTAATTTTGTTTCGTAAATTTATAACTGTTTTAATTGTAACCATGTTCTGTTTAATTTTTATTTTTGGAATCGGGAAAGCAAATCGTTGGCAAATAATTTAAGCAGATCTAAATGTTCAGTGGTTTAAAATTGGCGCTTTGGCTATTTTTAATTTTTCGTTTTGGCATATAACAAATTATGTATTTTTCCAACATTTATAATTTTTTTTCACGTGATTTTCGTTTTGTTGTAGCAAAATATATTTACTTTGTATCTTATTTTATAAAATTACTAAACATATGGATAACACTCATTTGATTATTGTAACATTTTTTTGAATTTATTGCTAAAAAGAAAATTTGTTTTAGTGCATAAATCTAAATTTTAATAACATATATATATATATATATATATATATATTTTGCTTATACACATGCCGTTTGTATATTAAATTTAAGCAATGTGTTAAAATTACGCATTATATAATTAACTAATTGTATTTTAAATGGAGTAAAAAACTAAAACAAAAAGATGTATGAACATAAAAATATATTATGCGAACATAAAAATAATGTTTTGATAAAAAAAAAAAAAACATTAACAAAAACATAAATAATATGATATAAGAAAAATGTGATCGCAAAAGTAGTAACGGAATCGTTGAGTTAGAAGAAATGGCATATACATACAGACATATTTTAAGTAACTACATATTTAATTAAAAAAAAGTGGCGCAAGTAATGCAAAATGAGTTGCAACGGCATACACGTAATTTCTGAACAAGAAAAAACAGACTGCGAACTTTAAGGTAGATTTTTTGTTGTGTAAATCATTAAGTTTTAATTGGCAAATAAAGTAATAAAATAAATAAAGAATAAAAAATAAATACAAAAATAAGTATTTTTTCTTATTGGCAAATTTAGTTATTTTCTAAATTCGATAGGCTTGCATGTAGTTTTCTCATTTCTTTGGGTAGCCATATATTATATGATAATTTTTACAACCAACGGATAATCACCAAACATTTGGATTTTGAAATGCCATTCATAAAGGTATTTATGTGCTTATTGACACATGTATATGTATGTATCAATACTTGGCTTGACGCTGATGTTAGCTGAAATAGTGTTTTTGATCTATCATAATTATATTATATTATTATTATATTTTCAGTATGCTTTTTTAACTTTTTTTAACTTCACTTTAACCGGTTTTTATACATACAAACATTGTTTAAGTAATTAACTTATAGTTTTCATAACTCATTATTTATAATTACTATTCAACTTCAATTGTTCTAAATCTCCATATTAATTTTGTAACAATTTGTAAAAGCTTATTCAGCACCAAGCACTTGATCTCTATCTCTCTACTAGTGCTCTCCATTTTAAAGATGAACATTTAGATCAAAATATTGTATTTAAATTTGGACTTGAACGCACTGAATGCACGAAATAGAATACAGCGCAATTACTTTAAATAAATACAAAATTATAAGAAATATGCAAATTGTATGTGGTCATAACGGAAGAAGAGAAAACCATTTGACGAATGCGTGCAATTTCCGTTAATGTTAAGACCGAACACAGAATGGCGTCAACTACGAATGCACAGTCGCCGCGGCCAAAATAGTGTTGGCCAACAACCAGTTTATATCATACACCAACACTAAATCGCAAAACGTAACGTCGCATACACATCCACTCGCCGTAACCGAACTTACAAAAAAAAAAAAGAAAACATTTATAAAAATAATATTAAATAAACAGAATAATGTATCATCCGTTTTTTACATTGAAAACGTATGCCTTTTTCTAAAATTGCTACAATTTTTAGCTGTTAATTATTAAGATTTAAGGAATATAATGGAATTACTAAAAGAGCTATAAAAAAAAGAACTATACACAATAAATAAATAAAATAACTTAAATTTAAAGAAACTGTAGTGTTATTTATTTGACATATATTATTTTCTCTTTGCAAATACAATAATGTCATACTGTTATATTATTCTTAACAAATAAATTTTTTCATATAATATTTTCAAATGAAAAAATGTTATAAATGACAAACAATATTTAAAAGAAATTTTAAAGAAAGCAAAAGAAAGCCACAATACGTCATATTATTTCAGCCTTTTTTCATAGTATACCTTAATAATGAACCATCTTTACTTTTATATAATAATTTTAATTTTCAATAATAAAAAGTTCTCAACTTAAAAAATTCTAATAATGCAGAAAGCCGAACACATTACCGTTAATCTAACCAATTACCAACATAAACAAATATATTTCAACGTAGAAAGATTTTAATGCATGAAATTATAAATAAATAGTCGGAAAAGCATATTTGACACAATATTAAAATAATGGGGATTTCACTTCTAACTAATTTAATATAATAAATTTGTATTTCGCAACATTTGGTCGAAAAATTAATATTTTAAAAAGGGTCAGGACTTCTCTCAAAGTAAGCCACAATAAGCATCAGCTGACTTAAATTTTAAAGACATTGTGCTTAATTGCTGTTATTTTAACCAAAATATGGACCAATCCTTTCGCAGTTTACCAGCAAACAAATGTAAACCACGCAAATTTTCTGGCAAAAGTTCAAAATTCTCTCCTACTCCTAATGTTCTCGTAAGTAATTTAATGTGTTACAACTTATATGATTACGAAAATTCTTGAATAATACCAGTTATTAATAAATTGGAAATATAAATATGTTAATTGTAAACAAATAACTATGTAACGCGTAATAATAATAAAAAACCTGAACCAGAAAATAAATAAAAATACAGTAAATAAAAACAAATTTAATATAGTTAAAACAAAATATTCTTGTTATTTATTTTAAATGATGCGTACTGGTAAGTCACTTATACTCCCTGAAACATAACAGAACCGAAACATAATTTTTTAAATATAATAATTAACAAACAAAATGTTAATAAGAGGATTAGTTGCAAGTTTTTAAAATTATCGATACTATTCAAAAGTGGGTATATTTGCTTAAAGTTTTATAAAAAATCGTCTTCCTCTACTTAGAAATAGCATTTGGAATCATTAAGCATATTAAAATTTTCAATTTAGGTAAATAGATTTTCAGTACGTCTATTTATGTCATATTACAATTTCGATAATAACTTTCGATACGTTGTAGTTTGATATTCTATCGATATTTTCTTTGCTTGCGTTCTCGGAACTGTCGGTTGACGCTACAAATACAAATGAATTTTAAAAGATTAAGAATCACTTGTTGAAGTTAAGTACATTAAAAATATAAGAAATTAAGCTGCAAAGCACTAAATTTCGATGTTACAATATTTTTAAAACAAAAGTGAAGATGTTATTTGTAAACACTGGCATTGCAAGCGAGCTGGTGCATTCTACGCATGCAATAACTTTTAATGAAAGTAAAACATTTCATTGGCGGTTAGCTATAGATTTGCAAGGGAAAGCAAAAATATTCTACACTATTTCGCATTTGAATATTGGATGTGCAGTAAATATGTATTTTTTTTTTTACTATGTTTACAATATACAATACCATGTAGTAACCAAATGGTAAAATCATAAATTGATACTTATATAACATTTCGGAAACATTATTTTCCCTAATTCGCAAATTTATATACAAAATCTTTGTATATATATTTTTACTAGCATATGATTATAGGTGGAATTATTTCCAATCAGGCTACATACGTAGAACCAAATGACAATTTGTAGATAAGTACTGGTAAAATAAAATTAGTTTGCGTGCTGATAATTATATGCACACGCTTACATCACCTACAGAAGTATTAACGCATGCTCAGGCCGTCATCTAGGGAAAACTTAAATCACCAAAAAATGAGATAATTTTCGCGGTCTCTTCACAGTTTGTTATCAACAAAAAATTTCAGTCATTGAAAACAGTGACAAAAAAACGTTTATTTGAGTACAGCAATTCAAGTCTACTTACTGTCTTATGATATCATTTTCGAAAAATTTTCGTTTAAGTATTTCCAACTTCGCTTATCCTGTTTTAGTTAAAGATTATACATAAAGCTTCAATAAAAGACATGAAATTATTTGTTTGTTCTATGAATATATTGCTAATTATATTGAATTTATTAATTAGGTCTTTTAGATAAACATGCAATATATGCATAGCTACTTATTTATAGCTTATTAGCTTAATAAATATTTACATGAAGTGATGTAGTGCCTATTAGTTTTGATTGTGCTATAGTTTGTTGTTGTAATAATTCATTTCATCAATTTTTATTAAGTGCATGAGCCGATTTTCTTAGCCTCATCCAATTCACGCTAATTTTTGTACATTTGTATATTAGTAGAACTATAACTTCATGACATTCTAACAGCAGCTCATGAAAAGCACCAATACGTAGATATATTACAATATAATATATCTTACGCCGTATTCTTCTCTAAAAATTCATATTTGATAAAACGTATTCCTTGTATTGTTTGGGCAGTGGCGTTTGTTAAATGGCAAGCGAATAGGAGCATATTCCTTGGTTGTACCTTCCATGCAAATCTCATAAATACGCAAGAATAAAGTGTGAGAGCTGAAATAAAAGATTACGCTGATTACTTAAGCTTTTTCGCTAGTGGCTAGAGATAATATGTATGACTTTCAAGTGTGCTGATAAAAAACAACACGTTTAATTAAATCACAACTATGTTGAATCTAGACCGGGCAGACAACTAATTGACCAATACGACACAAAAAAAATCACATAAAGCTTTTAACATTGATAATACTCGATAGTCTGTATGTAAATGTATTTATTGCTAAGCGTGCAAGATGACTAGCACAGTTTCACCAACAAAACACATTAGAAAATTAGCTAAATCATCAATGAAAGAAAATAAAGTACATATAAATACAAAATTACCAAGTGTCATTTTTCCTGAAATAAATTTTGGTTCTTTCTTGAAATCTGCAATTGCTGCTAGTGGAATACCCCAATTAGCTACGGGTCCCCAGAAGTGTGTGCTGCAAACGACAAAAAATACTTTATAATGCTAATTTAAAAAAAATTTACAAACCTCATTAGGTATTGGCGGAACTCCTTACTCTTCAATTGGTTCATCAATTGAACAACAAGATTTTTGTTAGGTGCACGTTGGGCCATCCTGATGTTTTTATTTACGAAGGTATTTGTTGAATACTAACCGCTACCACTTTTGAGACACGTATGGATGCTTGACGGAAAGAGAGGTTATTTAATAAATAGCCATATGTCAACAGAGGAAAATAATAGAAGCTAATTTTTATTTCGCATTTTTAACATTTGCGTATTACGCTGGAGTAGATTAGTAAGATGTATACCTTGCGCAAATAAGTTATATAAATGACAGCTGCGTACACCGACAAATAAATCAGCAAAACAAACCGTCGAACTGCTCTGTCCACTCGCTAACAACAAACAACAATTCGAAATTATCAAGTTCTCAATATCTTGACGTTTACGATTTGTTATCATTCAAATAATCTGGGCACCTTAGCTTTTACAACGATGCCACATTAACTATAGAGTTGATTAGAAATATATATTGTCGCAGAGGATAATAATCATATAATTAACCATCGATTTAGTAGCTTTCTTGTTAAGTTTAAATATTTAGAATTCAACAGATTTCAATTTAGTTCAACATATTTATTTTGAAGCCTTTGTTAGTAAACGACCGGGGAACTAAAAAATAGAAAACTTGCGCAACTTGAATGAAAATAAATTTTGAGTCCCCCTATATTAACATCTGTTATGCTTGCTAAAGCTGGCGGCAACCCTGTTGGTTTGACATTTGCCCATATGTCGACTTTGGACGTTGCTCTCTGCGCCTGTGTAATTTACGTTAAAATTCTAGTGGACATAGAAAATATAAATGAATTTGGAGTGTAATCAGAGTTTTTTGGAACACAGTGCGGTACGAATGTAATATGGTTTTAGTAAAGTGCATCGAAATTCCTAATAGTTTATTAACGAAAATTAAGTGAATTCAAAGCTCCACTTTAATGTTTGTGTATGTGCGGTACGTTGTTGACATGTCGTGAATGTTATTATATCCATGAATTGTTAATTTCTCTCAAAGTTTAAGTTAAAAGTAAGTGTAGTGTAAGTTGTCACGGTTTGTAAATTAATTGTTAATCTTAATATAAAAAGTGATTAAATGCGAGAAAATGAGAATGGTCTAAGAAATTAATTAGGGAAAATAAAGCATGAATATGTGTGACGAACTTAATGTTTGCTTTGAAAGTATAGTGGTTTGAGTCCAAACATGTTCCTTAAAAGCTAATTTCTAATTAGAAATGTTTGGTTATTTATGGTAATTTTATACTTGTTTTACAACATTATAGAACTATTAATTAACCGAACACCGCGTAACAGTTCAATGTCTTTACAATTAAAGCAAAGTAATGGATTTTTTTTTTGTCAATATTTGATATATTTATTAATAACTTTGCTGGTGGTTATTATGGCAGCATAAAAAAATTTGCCAACGAATTTTGAGATTTGGTGTTTTAGTGTAACATAGCTTTTAGTTATTCCGTTTACGTGTATGCGATTACCTTGGAAACCGGGCAATTACATGTGCAGTAATGATAAAAAACCTCTAAAGTTTTCGAATGAGCCTTCTGAAATGGATGTACTTCTAACAGGATCCTAAATATTTTTTAAAAGTTGTTTTATTGTAAACTATTAGTGAATCCATTGTTTTGACCCGCTGTTAAAATTAAAATTGTTGTTAGCATCATGTGCTTTTAATTACACCAAGGATTTCTTTTAAACGCACAGATGAATCTTAATTTATTGGGATAATTAGATTTGAGCTATTGAAAACGTTAATTTCTTCAGTTCCATACAAAGGTGCCAAATTTCATTGTATATTAGATTCATGTGTGCATTTGAAAGATTCTCTTTTCTAATTTCTTCATATCTCTTTTCTCACAGAAAAGCTACAAGTTTATTTATTTCCATTTGCCTGCTAAGTTAAAACATAAAACTGCTCATAACAACTCGCATACAGATATCATCGTTAAAGCTTAATTTTCGTCAACGAGTTTGAAAGTCAACACAAACGCGCCACATTTAATCCAATCAAAATTGAAATTGAAAAACCAAGTCAACTAAATCTAAAAGCGGAAAACTATATTTGCTACGTATAAATTTAAATCAGTTGTGATCTTAAAATTCACTTAAAAAAAACATTTAAAACACGTCGCACAGTTTATATAAATATTATATTCCTATAAAAATTTGTTCATCATGACGCACTGGGAGGATTTTTATAATACACATTTACCGCCAACCGATTTCGAGGATAATCGCTCGTTATTGAAAGAATTTTGTGAACGACACAATAAATTACAGAACCGTATCGTCCTTGTAACGGTAAGTGTACACTTATAATTATTGTAGATTTTAATATAGTGCATATGATTGTGATTATGTATGCCGTTAGATTATAAAGAGTTCTATGACGCCATTTGGCATGATATAAATTCGGTATTATTTCGCTTATATATGCAACTTATTTGTTGATAATAAATTTGGCCAAATATTTCCAAATTATTTGCGAATATTAGCTTCTTATATTATTTGAATCTAATTTAGTAAAATACATTTTTTTAAATTTAATTTCGATCAGGTAACAAAATGAAAAGGCCGATCAAATCCATTTTCACATACATATGTATGTACCGACAAATGCTCTCAAAAAAATGTATATCAAACCAGAAACTCTTTCTAAGCATTTTCTTTTCTTATTCCCATTTTTCTAATTTCAGTCAGGTGGGACCACAGTACCTCTGGAGCACAATACCGTACGCTTTGTAGATAATTTTAGTGCGGGCACACGTGGCTCAGCATCTGCCGAATATTTCCTCGATCAGGACTACGCCGTTATATTTATGTATCGCGTCAAGTCACTAGAACCGTTTACACGTCACCTTACCGGCCAACAATTTTTTGATATGCTCGACATCACTGATAATGGTCAAAGTACATCCATTACGGTGAAACCGGACTCCGTTGATGTATTCGCACCGATATTAGCCAAATATAAGCAAGCCCGCGAATCCCAAATGATTTTGTATGTTAATTTTAATACGGTGGCGGATTATTTGTGGCTATTACGTGCCGCATGTGAATGTCTGGCGGCGTTCGAGGAGAGAGCGTTGTTATATTTAGCAGCGGCAGTATCAGATTTCTACGTTCCTCAGGATATGATGGTAAGTGTTTTTGCGTGTTTACTGGTCAAAGTAAAAGGCAACTATTTTTCAAAATAATTTGTATATGTTATTTATTAAATGCTCAATTTTGTTGTATGATTAAATTTGATTTTATTAACATCATATAATATTATTGTTTTGACATAAAGATTCATTTCCCTTATTGAAATTCATAAACACTGAGAATGAAGCGATCGAATTCTGATTAGTTAAATGAAATCATGCCCCCAATCAGAATTTAGTAAAATCAAAAATCGGTCTTCAATTCAGTAGACGTGCAGCGCTGAATTAAATATTCATTTAGATTGTCAGCGACGATCTAATAAGAAGCAGTGCAGGGCAGCTCAACAACAGCACATCATATTCAATCTGAAAAAAATTTAAATAAAGTTTCAATATACCGATTAAAATATATAGCATACATTTTTTAGCAGGGGAATTAATATTTGCAATAAAAAAATTACGTGAATATCGTTAAATACGAGTACATGTAAATGAAATCTTGATAAAAAATACAAAAAAGAATAGTGCTGTTTGCAATATTTCTTAACTGTTCTTTGAAAAGTTTGAGCATATTTGACAAAAACTGATAATTCGATATGCAAAATATTTGTATTACAAATAGGTAGGTAGGTAGGCAGAGTGGCTGTCTAACGACGCACCTAGGCCTATAGGAGGCCCATTGTGATCATTTAAATAACACTGGTTAACAAAATTTTAACTTTTTTTGTCACATAAAAAAATCATATAAATAAAATTTTTACTGTACTGCAGGCCCGAGAATGAAAAAAAATTGACACGTCAGGGTTTCTTGTGATATCAAAACATATATTTTCTTAAAAAGTTCACACTTCTATGAAGTTCCATGGTAGATAATTTTTGAAAACAAAAAATCATAGTAAGTTGAAACCCATCCAAAACGAAAATAAAATAGCAAACTCTAAGGGAAAAATAATTAACGGTTGAACTGAGATAGGGAACAGGAAGGGGAGGGGCGTGGTTGAATTTTTAAGGGCTAAAAACGGTTTATCTCGATTTCCGTTAAAATACGAGTCCTATAGAAAAAAATTATATGGCAATGTTGTAGGTAATGAAATGATCTATAACTTTTGTGTATAGACTTTTTTTACATAACCTCAAAATTTATTAATATTTTCATGAAATTTAGTTTAAACTTGCCTTCTAATCTCACAAGCGCACTGTATTTATTTTTATTTACATATTTATAATATTTATGTTTTCTTCTTATATTGACCTAGTTCGAAAAAAATCCTAATTTTCAAAAAAAAAAACCCTCAAGTCAAAATTAAATTTTATTTTTAAAGATGAGTAAATTTAATTTTGTGAGCAAACTTACCATAGTAATGTACATACATGTATATGTTTAATACCATCTAAAGTAAGAGATTTCTGCAATCATATAGCCTACTCACATATAAAAAAAATTTAAAATTTTACTTGAGATTTTTTTATTGATAATTAGTGTTTTTTTTTCGAAATAATTTTTCCTCTTTAATAATAAAAAAAGAAATACAATGTATTTGGGGCATAGGTATGTTGCGTAAGCTTATTCCAAATTTCGAAAAAAAAATTTGTAAAAGATAAAAGAACGCAAAAACTTGATTTTTTGAATTTGTCATATAAATATTGAGTCTATGCATAAAAGTTATAGATATATAGATTGCCATAAAACTTTTTTTCTATAGGACTCGTAGTTTTGCGAGAAATCAAATTAAACCGCTTTTCACTCTTAAAAATTTAACTTACATATACATATATGATGTAAGTTAGTCGAATGCAATAGTAGTAGTAGTAGCATATGTATTCGTATAAATAAAGTTATTAAAAAAAAACACGTATATGAGGTTAGAAATGAATAAAGCTGTCAAAAACGGATTAGACGTGATTTAAACAAAATTATTATACAAATATTGTTAGTAAGGCTACACCAACATAAACAAAAATCATCGCAAAGTTCGTGTGACAAAAACAGTGTTTACCAGTACAATTTGAACAAGCATATGCATATCAGAGTGTTTGTGATGGAAACCGCAATTATTTTATACATAAATTTTTAATCGCCGTAATGATTATCTTCAGCCTCAACATTTACATATGTATGTATGTATTCTCGGCAGTCAGCTGCGCTATTACTATTTCATCTTTATTATTATCTATATTATCCATATGTCCATTGGCAAGGTCTTTTGTACTCCTCCAACTCAGCAGCTGGCATTCTTCGATCATTTTCTGCTACTGCTGCTGGCAACCGGCTTGAGTGCAAATGAATGAATGAAATTTTTAGAACAAAGACAACATCTACTTACTTATAGACCGACACTTTGAGTGGTTGTGTGTGTTGCAGCAACAGGGCGATAACATGCTGACGCTAGCGGGCTCAAGGGCAGATAGCAGCTGATTTGACAATGCTTTTAACACAATACTTTAGCTGTATAAACACTTTACTTTCTGTACGAGGGTTGTTCGAAAATAGTAAATTTTATTACACATTGGTCCTATGAGAGAACTTGCTGGGTTGCAGATCCAGACACATTTGTTACAAAAAACAATCAAATAAGAGTTTTCAGATCTGTTCTAACATCAATTGTTGGTATGACTTCACGAAATGTGATGCATCGCCGTTGTAAAGTAGTTGAAAATTAGCAGTTAATATTACGAGCTTTTAATCTAAAGGAGATCTAGCATCGTTGTTGTTGTTTTTTAGCGTCATAAGCTATCCACTACAAAATTTACATAACTGCCACACAAAGTGATCGATCAAAACCAAGTTCTTGTAAATGGTATTTTATTGGCTTCAGTGGAACCGAAGTAAACGAATATTCTGTCTTTTGTTTTTATTTTTATTTTTTTTGTTTTTTGTAGAAAAGGGCTCATAATAAGATAGTCTTCTTGCTAACACTGTTTATTTGATTGTACTTCGTAAAAAATATATATGTATATATAGTATACTTATGTACATTTGTATACATATACATACTCATGTAAATGACTTTATTATCATTTTCAATATTCCATTCAGTTTAATTTTATCATCCGCTTTGCGTCAATGTGCCACTCTCCACCAGCACTTGCAAGGGTCTCTTGAATATGCATGCCTTCGGCCGATGTCCCCAACTATGTTGTGGTGTTGGTATGACATCTTTGCCACTACAAAGACGCTAAGCAGACTAGATATGTTAAAGTGCGTGTGTGTGAGTCAGCTGCTATCGCCTGTCATTTATTTGTGAAAAGTTTGCTTTCCATGTTGGGTGACGGTCGCCTTGACATTGTCCTTGCTCACCACCACTGTCTTGCTGTCGCCAGTAGCAGTGCAAACGAGCGTAGCTTAGTTGCTTCACTGACTCGATGCTTAAATAACTGCAAACTTAGCCGTCGTTGTTTTGCTCTAATTCTCTTTGCCTTGATGTCGTTGGTCCGGACTTGTGAATGAAGCACGGAAGTGCCATTGTGCGTCATACATATTTGCATATGTATATACGTATGTATGTGTGTGTGCATGTGTGTTGCAGCTTGTTGCCATGCTCGACCAGCTATTATTTGTAGGTTTTAGTGGCGGCTGTTGAATGCCTTTATTGGTGGAATTATTTTTTCAACGCTAGTTACGATCTCTTTTATTATAACGACTTAAATTATGTAATTTGTAGGGAAATGTTAAATAGCATTATTGTAGTTGAAACACAAAATCATTTTAATAATTATAATCATTTAATAAAAAAATGGACCCTACGATCAAAATAGTAAGGAATTATGGCAACTTGAGTGTTAAGTGGATCGCCTCCGTTATTTTTTTTTTTTTTGCGAACAAGAACCGTCAACTCGGCAGAATGTTTGCAACTGGAGAAAGATGTGGACCGATTTCATATCCTTTGGCGTTTATTCTAGATAAATCACAAATTCCCCGCTATACCATCTGATTTAATTTGACCCGGACTGACTTTTGGGAGTGCCATGCGCGAGTTTGTTGGATAGTTTGACGTTATATTTATAAACCCACGTCTCGTCATCAGTAATGATGCATATGATAAATGTAGAGTCCTCAGCTACATTGTCAAGCATTTCTTTTTTGAACTCTAATCGATGTCGTTTTTGCAAAAGATTCAGATCCTCTTAGCTTAATCCTCAAAACATTAATCCAAATATGTTGAGTCGAACTATACGAGATGAGAAATGGATGCACGTCTCGGATGTGACTAGTTTTGCTGACTTCACGTCCTTCACTAAATGCTTTGTGCCACTAAAATTCTTGTGTTCGTGTTAAACTAGACTCCCCAAAACACTTGGGCAACATTTTCAATGGTTCCATAGCTGTGATTCCATTGGAAATTTGAAGTAATCTATGGTGAAAATCGCTAAACAAACCTTCTGCGGCTGCAAACACATACTACTTGACATATGGAGACCAAACTTTCGATGAAAAAATAAAAAATTGTACCAAGACAGGAAGAAATTTTTGATCCATTCCGAGTCAAATGTAATCAGATGACATAAATTCAGCGCGAGTAGCAAAAATCATTATATTAGCTATAAGGGATATGCGGAAATTATTGTATGTATTTTTAGTACCAAACAAGGTTAGATCGCCGATACTGATCGATACGATATCGACATGGATACTGCAGTAGGTTATACTTCTACTTATCCAGAATAGTCTCCGACACACCAAATATGTATATATTAATCGTGCAATGAGTCGCCACATGTCTCTAACTACCTCTTTGCATGCCCATAAATACTTAACCTTTAACGAAAGTGTCAAATCCTTTTTAAAAAACATAATGAAGGAAAGCGTAGGAAGTCTGCTTCCTATAGTAAGGTAACTGTAGGAGCTGTCATATTACAAAGCTATAAACGGGCATAGATATATATGTAGGCCATGGCGCACATTCACATCCTTTTGCTGCGAAGATTTACTTGGCTTAAAACCCGCTCGGTGACAATACTACAAGATGACGGTGGTTATAGACGTCATAGGCAAAGAA